TGATCCCATAATGAGATAATTTTTTGGAGGCGCAAATTAATGTAGTTATTAGGATTTATTTTGAAAAATATAAAAGGTATCATGAATTATAAAGCATCATAATACAAACAGAACATCCTTTTATAATATTTATCAAGTGAAAAACAAAACCAGAATTCCATTTTAAAACTAAAAATGTAAAATAAAAAGAATCAAAATATCATCTTGCCCTACCCTACAGGGCAAGACGGCATATACGTGGATTTATACATAAAGTGATCAATTATCAAAACATAATTCACAAATGAAGTTCTTAGCCTTCATTGATAGTCCTGCATACTCTGCATGAGCCCACATATGACACATTTGGCAACGTAACCAGCCTTCTTGAGATTTGGATAGGCTATACAACTCATTGCAATAGAGTCACGCGCAATCATCGTCGTCGTCCTCATTAAAAGGCTCTTCACAGTCTGATTCATTTTCCTAGATATTAACTGCACTTCGTTCACTTTTTCTTAATTTTCCGGTTCTCTTTTCTTGACAACCTTTTTGAATATTTTCATCCCCACATTCTAAGGAACCATCAAACACATTTTTCTTCATTGAGTTTCGCTTATTCTTACCTTTCTCGCTTTTTTTAATATTCTCTTGCTTGCGAAGACTCTGTAGGTATGGACTCGTGGTAAGAACATCTTGGTATCTTCCCTTGGCCTTCCTTCTTCTGGACTTTCTTGCATTTCCCTGCGGAAAAGGTGAAATTTGCAACAAAGCGTTTGTGACGTTATTAGCTGAACGCTCTCCATGTTCATGTGGCTTTGTATTTACTGTTATAGATGACTGCGGATCTTCTTCAGAGAAACATTCACCCGGATTAAGGGATTCAGTGTTTGCATCATCGGCCTCAAGTGGCACGTCAGTTACTGTGCTGGGCAAATACATGTGTTCTGGAAATATGTCCGGGTTGAAAGGTGAGAACCCTGTTGCTTTAAATCCGCTTAAAGCTATCGGTAGTGTTGCTGTTTTATTGTAGGCGGAAGAAGAAAGTGATGCGACTTGATAAAGAGTGATGACATGACTTGGATTTTCCATCAACCATTGTGTTGCTGCTGCATCGTAGTACTTACTTAGTGGTCCAAAAAAGCACACATCGACCGGTTGGAGACGATGTGGGCGATGTGAGGACAAACAAAATAGCACCACTGAATTTTTTTTTGCAAGTACCAATGCTTCTAAATTTTTATGGCTGGTACGAGTATGCCCGACTAAAATTAGCAGGGCTTTGTTTTCGGTGTTTGGTCGAACATGTTTAATGAAGTGTTCCATCCACTATACAAATAGTTCCCCGGACATGTAACCTGATGCATTGTACAAACATAAAGTCCCAACAGGCGCTCCGTCGTATAATGTTGGGTTGAATTTCTTCCAAGGAAAAATTATAGCAGGTTGAATACATTCCCCTTTCCCCGCTGGTGATAGCACCCACTTGCTTCTTTCCTTTTAATCCAAAAATTTTAGAAGTATTTTGTACAGTTGTCAACCCTGACTCATCCATATTAAAAATCATACTTTTGTCGATTTCTTTATTATTTATTACGTTACGTAGATTTTCAAAAAAGGTCTTTACTTGTGTTTTGTTAAAACTTTCAGCGCGTGCCATCGATGTTGCCTCTGGCTGACGTAAAGATATATTCGGATTCCTTAGTTGAAAAGAGCGTAGCCAACCTTTGCCTGCAATTTTTTTCGTGTTATTGAATTGATATTTCAAGTTCATTCTCACTGCAAGTTCATATGCCAAAATACGGACATCTACGGTCGTTAAGCTAAAAAATCGGACTTCCAGTGCTAGCATATGCTCCACTAGAGCCTCTTCTAGTTCTCGATTTAAGGTTGTTTCATGTCTGCAAGATGGTTTCTTGTACCAACAGCTATTTTATTTAGATTCATGGCACGGCGGCGAAGTGTTGCCTGGGGCACTTGGAAATGCCTGCTAGCTTTTAACCAACCCATGCGCTTTTCTGCTACAGCCTGCAACGCTCGCTCCATGTTTTTCTCATTCTATGCCCCTCTATTGGTTTTTCTTTTATAATTGCAAACCATCTGTAAATTAAAACAGCAGTGCAAATTTTAGGTCATGAGGGCCAAGGGCGGATCTATGGAGGGGGGAATAATGGGGATAACAACTCCCCCCAGACAGGTCCCATAATTTAAATGAATAGAAAACACTGGATAAAAATACTATAATAGCTTAAAAAATATACTAAAAAAATAAAGGTACCCATGTTTTTACTTCTACATTAATAGTAAGTACCCAAAACATTAACCGAGAATTTTATTTTAAAAGAGTTTTGGGTAAAAGTTGGTCCCAGATTTTTTTTACACTCTCCCAGAAACATTTCATAGCTCCGTCCTTGAGAGGGCAAGATGACAAAACTATATTTCAACTTGCCCGCTAGCGTGTGTAATCATAACATGAAAATATGGCCGGATAAAATATAACCTAAAAACAGTTGCAATATCTTAAAGTAAAGGTTAGGATCACCCTTTCTATCTCCAAAATAAATCATGACAAGAAATACTATAATATCATAAATATGCAACAAAACATATGGTACTTACATTGGACCAAAATGCAACAATGATACAGAAACGTAAATATTCTTTCAAACGTACGGAGTCTCCCCACCCAAAGACTATCAAACGATTACTGCGCAAGAGTCGATTGTAACGAGCGTATGAACTGAACCAATAAGGGATTAGTTTTCGTGGTGGGGGCAATGTGTCGTCTTGCCTGGCTATGTCGACTTGCCCCCTGCTTGTTGGAGCATTTGGTGCGTTTCGGTAAAAGACTTATCAAGTTTAACACAAAACTCAATCGCAGCTCTTTGTTTGAACTTCATTTTCCGACCGATAGTCAAAACATACGAACACATACGACGCAATAACTTGACCGTTTGGTGGTTCCTTCTATTTTGAAAAAGTTCGGTTATTTTTGGAACAGAGGAATAGTATAACTGATATATTTCGCAAATCTGAAAGCATTATTCCAATATGATAAAAATTAAGGAAGTTATCACATGTCTAAATAAAATGAGATGCCTTCGTCTGTCCGACCAAGAAACGAAGACAGCCAACCATGGACAGCTGTTTCGTGCTTCTTAGCTACTCATCAGCATGGTATAGGCTTGGTCACAGATTATACAGATGCGACACCTGCTATCTGACCTTCTTCTTCTTCATGTCCCTAAATGTTTACCACATTTCCCGCTTCTGTTCATTAGCGTCCGGGGGATTTTTTCCTAGGGGTTGTTACGCGTTATTAGCCTGACGTCACGAATGTCATATATCAAGCTACATAATGAAGAAGTTTGTGTTTATCATTTCCCCAAATGCATTTAGGCCAGATAATTGATTTGTATTGATAAAACTGTTTTGTGGACCCGTGTCAAAACATTCCACCGATAGCCCCTAAATGTCACAGCAATCGGAATCCCACCAAATGCATAGAACTCAAGTTGGCCTTGATAGAACCTGCTTTTTGACAGAGTGTCGCCTCTGGTAGTACTCTGTGGCTTGGTCTCTTATCTCTGGACGAACAAACGAAAGCATCACATTGATCCTCTATATCGGAGGTGCGGTTTAACAGCATGAGATAGCGCGAAGCGCCATCTATCGCACCAGAATCGAACCATTGTAAATCACAGTTATCACATTTTCTGTGTTGGGTGCTGTGGCCGACTACTCGCGTTTCGATCGTGACGTCACATGACATAAGTTCGGCTTCTGGGCCACAGCAATGACGCGGCCGGACGATGCGTCGCCCCTTGCATATCGCATTCATCCTTAGCGCTCACGCTAACCAGTCGCAATATATTGTCTGTAGGTATCTTGTTGGAACGTGAAATTGTAAAATTTTTTGCAACGTGCCGTCATACTTGATCCGATTTCGATTTTTGAATAATCGGCTTCAAGTTCGATATAAGCGACCCTGAAAACATTTCACCATTAATATGTTCACCGATTGGAAGATTAGTGGAATCGATACGCTGAAAATCTTCTTCCATTTTATTTATTGCATACCTATAAATATCGTACAGCAATCTATGCCAAGATACCTACTTCTCCAAATAAGAAACTTCTGGGTAGCGTTACTTTGTCATTTTTTAGGATATTGAAAAATGTTTACTTGGATTATCATTTTAAGCGTTTCAAAAAATAGGAAAATTCCTCATTAAATTGAAAGTCTGGATACATGGCTAGATGGGAAATCTGCTTTTCACGTCCATGTCATTAGCTTCATATTCAGAACAAAAAATACCAGTTTTCTATCTAATTTCAGGACATCCGATTAGAGCCGAACCACACGTCAACTCCGCAGTAATTCTTGCTTAATTCTATGTGCTAGAAGTAGCCCAAAGCAATTTGCAGTAACATGCAAAATGTATCAAGGAGTCTTTTGCCTGGCCGCACACCTATAGCTATAGTATGGACTAAATGAGTGAATGCAGCAAGAATATCTGCTCGCCAAATTCTTCATCTCTACGTCGCTTGGGCTAATTTTCGCATTGTGAGCGGACTGAATCAGTGAAAAAGCAGCATGTGTTCAAAACATTGTTCGGTGACGTCAACGTACACACTACTGTTTTTTTTCATTAAAAATTAATTTAATGAGCTTAAGATTTGATGGCTCTATGGGTGGCATAAAGACATTTCTTCAGGCCGTGGTTAGGAGGTAGGTAGGTGGTAAACACGGTGGGTGTAGGTGTATCCACAATACATGGTGTAACTACTGTCTGAACTGAATCCGAAATGGTAAGTGGGAGTATTTAGATGGTGTTCAAAGGAATTGTCGCGGTAGCTCTGTCAGGCACCATAGAGGCCAACAGGAATTTTTCTCAGGAGGACCGATCATCGCTAACTTTCTGTGAAGGTGTACTTGCTCCCAAAGCGGGGTGTAGGAAATTTTCTCAATGGGGGAAGGGAAGCTTTATAAATCCCCAAAATTGTACACAAGATCATACTTAATATGCAAATTTTAATTCCTCACCGCTGAGACCCTCTTTGGGCGCCCATCGTAAAAAAGCATACTTTTCGGCACCATAAATCTGTGTAGTATTCAAGGTAAACCGATATTCTGAAAATATAAACAAAAACAGGGGAGTGGCTCCATTTTCAGAGGGACATGGATATGCAACCAATATTACACGTCGATCTTTATGATCCCGTATCTACAGGACAGGCACATCTCTATTCACAAATGTCAAGATGCATAGAACACTATATTTTGTATGATTCTTTGTTTCTGTGGTTCTGTGTCAAAATAAAAAAAATGAGGTTAGGTTTAGGAGGGGGCTCAAAGATTATCTGTTTCTTGTTATTAAGGCAGATCAGGGAGAGTCACGTTTGTTAACAAGTGATTGACTGTTTTGTTTACGAACCAATGAAGATAGGAGCACACAGAGATCGGATTTATTAACACGAAAATCACTGCATTCACCAGTAGTTTCGAACCCTCTGATCAGAAAGGACATCTAGAAGAATTTTTGCAATGTCGGCAGATATTAAAAGACCTGATAGTGCACCAGAACGTAAGTTTTTCCATATTATAGTTTAATACGTACATTTTCTGCGGGTAAAACATTCGCTATCTTGTTATACTTTTATAAGTACCTGCAAAGATCAGGGGACAATCTAGCTTCGGAATAGACAGCAGACTCTTAAAGATAAAAAAATGTTGTTTTTGTAGGGGCTAGAGAAGAGGTAACTTGTCTCCAAGAAGACAACTGCTCCTCTGACTCAATCTTTACTCAGTACATTTTGTCCTTAGACAGATTCATCACTTTTGTTTGGACTCCAGTTTTGAATTGGTATGACCTTTACTAACTGAACTCCTCAATATTTTTTGAATGTATACATATTTAACTTCAACATTCCTTGAAGGGAATGTGATTAATTTTAATCTTAGACGCAAATCCTCCAATGTTGTTAAGATTATACAGTAACTTTTTATGTGGTTCAGTTAAAATGTCCTTGAGGTGTTGGAAAGTGGTTTGGAATTCATGAATCCTTATCCTTACTATAAATAAACATTCACAGTGCTGCTTAGATAGTTCTCAAGGTACTTTTGTAGGAAATATATACAGGAAATGAAATATAAATTGAGGTTTTTAGGAAATTCAGGGTCACAATACAAATATCACAGATAAATTATGAATCATTGTTAAAACATATTGACTCTGTCTAGCCTTTGACCTGTAAAATTACTAAGAGATCATTTCATGTTTAATCCAAGGTGATTTTATTTAGTTCAGATGCTTCTGGCACTCGGTTTAAATTGGTAGAAGGCATTATTTTTTTACATGAAAGATAACTCTTGATTAATAATACATAATTACAGATTATTGTTATCCATCTTCTAGAATAGATGAAATGGGTTCAGTAAACCATGATCAGCTTTGTTTGAATTTTCTTCGATTATTATATTGTTTTATGAAAGAAACATTTTATCCCACTAGCTCTATTGAAAAATTATTTTAAAATACTATTTCAATCCAATATGGTCTAAACTATTACCCTTTGTTAACATGCACCTCTATATGGTCATTGAAAATTGAAATGTATTATATACAGTGTAATAATACTGCCAGGATTATCACACATATTTTAGGTGGCTGAAACCAAATCCAAACTTGTTCTAAATTTATCTGGTCCAATTTATGATGCAAGAAATAACCAATTCTATAAATTTGGATGTATCAAAAATGAAATAACTTGATTTAGTGTGCTGAATGTGAATTTGATCATAAAAGATTCTGAGGTATCAGAGAGCTGGGGCAGAAAATTAAGCTCACAGAATATTTCTAGGTGATAAGGCTTGCTTATATAAGTTTAAGTGAAATGCGTTTTATTTAGCTTTGTTTTGACTGATTTATTTTATGAGAAGGAGAGTTAAATGACATCATGTTCAGGTGACATATATTTTCTGTGCCATAAGACAGTATCAGTAACCATATTGTAGGTAGCCATAAGAGCTTATATGGCACATATCCACTGTGTAAGTGGGCCCAGAACAGTATTTATGCACAGAACTATGTTGGTCTATGGCTACCTTACTGTGTAAACATGGTCACAGATGACAAACATAAGGTGTATTTGCAGTAGGAGTTAGTAATCATAATTGTAATGATATAGTAATTTTCATTATTTTCTCTCATCTCCAAAAATAAACAAAAAAAATAATTTTGCTCTGTATGCATGAACCAGACTGTCCAGGAGTGGGTAGTGATGCTGCAGGTAAAGCAGCCCCTTGCAGTGGCTGTCCAAACCAACAGATATGTGCCTCAGGGCCAAAAGGACCAGATCCAGCCATAGGTTTGATCAAAGAAAGACTTATAGATGTCAAACACAAGATTCTAGTACTCTCGGGCAAAGGAGGAGTTGGTAAAAGTACAGTTACAGCATTATTAAGTCGAGCTTTGGCACATGGGAAGAATGATCGCAATGTAAGTGAAGGTATATACAGGGTGTCCCAGACGTCAACGTCAAGCCGGAAACGGGGGATAGGCCAAGTCATAATAGTTATCAGAAAAATATAAAAAAATCTAAGTCGTTGTACTTTTCAAATTATAGGCTTTGAAATATATTGGGAAAATCAAAATTTTTCCTCACTATGTGCTTGATTGGGGAATCATCCCTCTGGGAGTAAGCGGTACACATTCACAAAATCGTGGTGATTGGGATGACGGGCAGCATTTGGGTACCTCTCACGAGAAAGCCTAGCTGCAGCACTACCATTGCATCTAAATTTCCCACAAATAATGTGCATGTTTGCGTAATTCTGTACAGTATACTCAGACATTGTGACACTAGACAATCATGAATTAATACAAGAGGCATTACCGTCTTGCTGTCCGTCACTCCGTTTAAGAAAAAATTGAAATTTGTAGTAATGGTAACTAAAAGATCATCAAAACATATGGATTTTTGCGAGGTTCCGATTTTTTAAAGCGTATAATTTGAAAAGTAGACGACTTAATTTGTTTTTATATTTTTTTGATAACTATTATGACCTATCCCCCATATCCAGCTTGACATTGACTTCTGGGACACCCTGTAGATTAATTAAATAGCCAGTTTGCTCTGTTTTAGGCGTATATTCTTTCAGTTAAGGTCCGAAATTCAAAGTGTCATAATCTACTGATGAGTATTGTTTGCTAATTTAGAGAATTATTATATTTGTTGACTAAATAGATTATTTCCATTGTAACATCAAACCAGACTACAATTGTAGTATGTACATAACATTAAAACATGAGTCGCATGACCTTACTCATTAAAAAATAGACATCATTATTATTCTTGCGGATTGCCACACATTACTGTTTTTAGATAATATGCAATTGGCGTGAAATGTTACAAATAAACTTCTATCTAGTTTATCACTAGGTGTTCACTATCTCCATTAACATTTCACGTATCTAGAGAATGAGAACAAAACTATGTTTCGATCAGTTCAATTGAAAATTAATTATGTCAGTGATAAGCGTTTCTAGACGAATTGTGTTAACTTTCTTAATATAAGAAAACTATTTTCATTTTGATCTAGGTATTTACTTTAATGTTCTATTCTATGTTCAGCGCTCTCCGCTGCATAAATGGTGATGATGATGACGCCACAATACAAATTGATCTTCTGAAAAACACGACTAGTATATAGTGTGTTCTACCAAAAGAGCTAATTTTTTATTGTTGATCGTCTGGCTAGATAACATCCGTTGTATTTTCTAATAGGTTGCAGTGTTAGATGCAGATATTTGTGGACCTTCACAACCAAAAGTTTTGGGCGTAGCAGATGAACAGGTTCACCAATCAGGATCTGGTTGGTCACCAGTGGTAAGTTTGACACGCTGTTTTATATTTACTTTTTGAAGACCCGGTCAACCATTACGCTAATTTATAGCAAAATTTATAATTGCCATAACTATTGTTACATCTCAGTTCCGCTCCGTTGACTGCCTCGACTGTGACTGCCATCTTCCGTCATGTGGTCAGATATTTATTTAGTGGATCGACGGTCCCCGATGCACTCCAGCATTTTTTAGCAAAAACTCGATTCCCACTCAAAGCTAGTAGGTGGCGGTAGGTGCTTCCAGGTGGGTCTCGATGATTCTTAAATATCTGCCTAAACGTTTAGATAGCGCAGCAAGCGCTCACGCACGGTCGTGTAACTCGTCGCCTAAGCTTCGACATCGCGGGAGCGCTCCACCGCCACCCCAGGTCTCATCTATACGAGGGCATTACAATACTTTTTCGACTTCGAGCTAAATTCATTTATTTTTAGTCAGAAGTAGAACGTAATATTTTTCATTTTTTTTTTTAGTCGGTGGATGATAATCTCTCATTGATGTCCATTGGATTTCTTCTGTCATCTCCCGACGATGCGGTCATATGGAGAGGTCCAAAAAAGAATGGAATGATTCGACAGTTTCTTAGTGAGGTAGACTGGGGAAGCTTGGACTATCTGCTCGTTGACACTCCACCAGGTAAGTTTTTTTTTATTAAGGCTGAGGTATTTTTAATTTTATGCTAAATGACATTGTACATCACGAAAAAACCATGTCACTCATTTTTCGTCGGTCTGTACGCTAATCCTTGGGACGTCTATAACTTGGAAAATACCGCTCGGATTTAGATGAAAGCTTCCACACAAGGATAATACTTTGCCAGAGACGAAAAAGATTTGTAGTTTTTGAAAATCTGTTGTGTGGCGGTGGAGCTACGGGGCAAAAAAACTAAAAAAAAAATAGTCGCTCAAACTTCTGTTTTTGACGTAACAGTCTCTTGAATTTTTGTTGAGGTTAATAATTGGGAGTTGCGGTTGTAGTGTGTGGGTGAGAGTATATTATAATTTTTTCTTATTGGTATATTCATACGCTCCCAAGCCCTTAATTCATTAGACATATCTCACAAATCATAGATTTTTTCGTTTATTTGCACACAAGACTCAGAATGGTAAGAGATATACTCAGCTCTGGTATCTGGCTACCTCTGTGTTGCGTTGCAGTCTCTGCGGTGGCTGTCGTCTAACTGCCGGACTGCCGCATCCGTCACAAGCGAACTACCTCTTGCTACCGTCATGATTACTGAATTGTCTTTAGAGATCAAATGCAGGGAGTGATCATTTCTGTAGTCTACTCTGGTAGCACTTTGTCTTGATTAACGTGATCAATATAGTTAAATCAATATTAAACCATTATTTTATCTATCGCCAATCTTTTTGAAGGAACATCAGACGAACATCTGTCAGCGGCGACATACCTGTCACAAGCTGGAGTCACAGGAGCTATAATTGTCACAACTCCTCAAGAAGTTGCACTGCTGGACGTCAGAAAAGAGATCGACTTCTGTAGAAAAGTTAACGTCAGAATACTGGGTGTTATAGAAAATATGTCAATATTTGTTTGTCCCTGTTGTGAGGTAAATAATTCTTTATTTATCTTTCACATTACAACTTTTTAGTTTGAGATCGTAGTTTTTTACAAATTCTGGTACTAAAATTCTTTTTTTTTTTTTAGAGAATGTCGGAAATTTTTCCAGCAACAACTGGTGGTGCAAGGCAGATGTGCAAAGAAATGGATGTGCCATACCTTGGAAACCTCCCGCTAGACCCTAAGCTAGCCAGACTTTGTGATGAAGGAAGAGATATCATCACAGAAATGCCCAGTTCGCTTGTTGTACAAGCTCTTAACGGAATCGTCAAAGGTGAGATATGGACTTGTATTTGCCGTAATTTTAAATCATCCTAGTATAAAATGTTTTGGGAGTTCGTAAATATCCTCAAAATTCTCAATAAAATGTCAAGTTGTACAACTTATTGACGTCTTTGCTTGTTTCAGATCTCATCGATCTTTGTGAGAAAAAGGACTAACGTGCTCGGCCGCGTCTACGGAAATTTACATAAACACCATATATTGTTTAAGCTTTAATATAAAGTTTCCTTTATTTTGTTAGAGATATATTTTATTATAAATTGTAAGAAAACTATTAACTGATCAATAAAAGCGTTACTAGTGCTTAGTTGTTGTTTTTTTTTTGTTATAAGAGAGCCTAGTTCAGCAGGCATCAACTATATAAATTAGTTTCGATACCTCCACAACATAGCCATTATTAAATTTCAGTGTTACCGTCTTCATTTACCTTGAGTCAAAATTAGCCGAAAACAGTCTGACCATCTTAACTGTTCACTGCAAACAATATTTGTGGAAGGCAAAATTTGTTCGAAATATGACAGGCTATTACCAGAATCGACCACTGCGAAAGTGAACAGCACCTCTTTATTCGAATTATCACTATTACCGCTTGATGCCGTCGATTCTGACGAAAATCGCTGGCTGTGCGATGAAAGCGCCACCTAGCGGATGTCGGACTGAAATATTTGTGCTTTACACGTCCCATATGAAAATAAAAGACATCTAATCGATTTGAGGTTAGGAACAATTTGAATTGAAACTGCGTGAGCGGCGATTGATTTAGTTCCCCCACTATGCACTTCGTTCTTGTTAATGGATTGCTTTGTTTTCATTTGTTGTCCTACCTAAAGGCCTAAACCACGGTTACCCCGTCCCGTGTTGCGGAGTAGTATAATTAGCACCTTTGAAGGCTGCTATCGTATACTTTAAAAACGAATTCTGCTTCTAATAAAAACAAAATAAAATGCGTTATCTTATTGTTTTACTTATGTCTATCCACGTGTATTTAAATTAACTGTTTGATTTTATTATACCCTTGTTAGACACGCTTCAAACGCAATACATTTTATACTTCTAGTTTATCGTTTCTGGAAAAATATTAGCATTACAAAGGTACCAAACACTACAAAAGTGAATGGAAGCAATGCGTTCATTTCTTATACGTATGTTTAGTACGAGATTCGTAAAATATGAAATTTTCCACAGTGCTTATAGTTTCCTTAGCAGTTATCTTACTAATCGATGATGTGAGAGCAGGTAAAAAATCTTTTTTTCTGTACATATTTAAAAATTCAGATAAGTATGATGATATCTAGTATTTCTCGCACAAACCCCACATTTTCCCAAAATGGCATATTGGAACCTTAAAATTCAACCTCCCAAGTTTGTCTGGCCAATGAAACCACATATATTTGAAACTCTTCTTTAATGTAGTAAACGTTTCGATCACAGAATTTCAAATATATCTGGTATCATTGTAATTTTCCAAACTATTGAGAAATACAATCTGATATACTGCCATATTATTCAACTTTTTCGAATTTTTTTTTCTGGGTGGCCTCAAAATGTCCTTCAAATGCCTTCCTAGACAGAACTGATCTCTGATTTGGAATCATTAACTGCGAAAACCTAAAAGACACGCGTCTGGGTTTGAATACTGGACTTATTTTAAATTTTTCCTTGAAGTGACCTTGCCCCTATAGTGACTAACTGACCTGTGATTAAAACTTTGGTGAACAGAATAACCTAAATGACATGCGGTTGGGCTCAAAAGTTTATTCGCGCATTGTACAAACATAACTAAAATTAACATACATATCCGTAAATAAACTGCAAACACCCACAGAAGAATCACTTCTTAAGCATATGAGCGAATTACTTATAACTTGTATAAATGGTACACACATAGAATTACATACCTATATACAGGGTGACTTCGAAGTTGAGTCATTTATTTTAACAGTGGGTAGATCTGATCAAAAGAAATGTTTTTTCTTTTACCATTTTTCTGGTAAAATTAAAGTAACAAAGTTGTAGCCCTTTGGAAGTTTGAGTACCGCCCTGTCTCAATAATAATATTATGTGCTCGTGTTTGGCGACAACGGATATAATCCGCCTTATCGGTTCATCGCATCGGAAACAAAAAAGCGAAAGAATTTGGAACGATGTTTTTACAATTATTTTATTCAGTTATATAGTCAGTGTCAGTCGGTAACGCGTGAGTGAATAGTGGTGTCTGTTGCGTGGCTCAAACGAAATCAAAAATGGCACATGTTTACGAAAATGCTGAACTTGTGGACATGATTCTTATTTACGGGGGGGGACTCGGTTTCCCAAACGAGTGCAACCAACCCCTCGTGCCTTTGTTAATGTAGTAGAAAGGGCTCGTGACTTAAGACCTCACAGGGGAGGGAATATGCCGGTGCTCCAAGACCGCACGATCAAATACAGGTCCGCACTGAAATACTTGTCGGGAGGATACTTTATAAAACAAGGTAACATTTTTTTTTATTTTTACACACATATTTTGGTTTATCTTCCTTCTACAATCATTATCTGAAGATTAATGACTCAACTTCAAAGTCACCCTGTATGAACATGGAGTCTTGAACTACTACATTGGGTTTAATTTTCTTTCATAGGTATTATACCTGCAATTTTATGTCAATTTTTCTCAATTACGAATTTTTTTGTTTAAACTTTGAATTCAGTTTTATTTGAGATATCCTTTAAAGCATTCGGTAATATGTTATAATATATAATATAGGAAAGGTAAGATGACATTTTTCAAGGTAAGGTGTTTGTTTGATGTTGTTAATTCTGTTTCTCGTTTGGTATAAGTGATCTAGCAGAATGTTGGAACTAATAAATTATAATTCTTAAAAAAATAGTTGCCTGCTTCAGAATACAACGGATCGGATGGGTATAGAAGAGATGGCTTGCCAACGATTATTTTGAAAAATTGTTTCTGGATAATTTCCAATTTATTCATTTAGTTATTAAGTGCTCCACCCCAACCTAATATTGCATAGCTCATACGACTTTCGACCATAGCATGATATAAAATATTCGTTGTTTTTATCCAAATATTTGTTTAGATACTTTAATTTAAACAATAATGGTCTCAGATTGGTTATTACATGATCAATATATGTATTCCACTTTAAATGCGAGTCTAAATGTACACCTAGATATTTTAATTTGTTTGTTAAATTTATTTGAGTAGTGGTATTATCACAATTAATCTGTACCTATAGGAACAAAGGACTGTAATTTGTTTCTTAGATTTGTGAATGACATGAACAAAGTTTTTTGGAAGTTGATAATTAGGCACCAGTCTGCAATTATTAGGAATTGTACTTTTCGCCAGCTTTTGGATGCTGGACTTATTTTGAATTTTTACTTGAAATGACTATAGCTGTCCTAATTCATCTTTGATCCGGATTTAGTAACTTGAAAAACCTAAATGACATGTGGTTGGTATCAATTACTCGGCTTTTTTTGAAAATATCCTTGAGATGACCTTTCAGGGACCTTCAAATGCACTAATAGAGACACAAACTAACCTCAGATTTTAAATTAGTGACCCAAAAGCCCTGTTGTACTGAAATGAGTAAAAACTGTATTTTTGCCAGCTTGTCGGTATTCTATATCACTATGCACCGCCCGACCTCAAATGGGGCTGCTCAAATTGATCATCCGTAACTCAATTCATAGCCCCTTGGCTGAAAAATGACATCCTAATTAACCCTTAACTCGCGATGTCCGTCTGAGAGACCGCCACAATTTTTTTACTCAGCTGTATTTTCTATAAATAATATAACTGAAACTCCCGCGTTCGTCTAGCTTCAAATTAGGTTCATCTTAACTCGAACCACGTGAAATAGTACTCCCCACCCTTTAACCTTGGAAATCGCGGCGCCTAGTTCACATGTCTAGCAGTATCTCAGACCGACTCTCGCGGTTAACGCGTACATCGCATAGGAGTCCCTGTGACCGACAGTCGCGAATAACGTGAGTTTGTTTTTGATATTCCCGTAAAAAACTGGATTTGAAGTGAAATAAAGGTAAGAAACTATTTTCATGTTTTGTGTATATGTTACCGCTAATATCCAAAATCCGCTAATATGCATAATAATTAGACATAATAGGAATTATGCGTAAATACTAAAACTGTCGGTTAGTATGCAAAATAACGGCGCGTATCAGGAATTATCGATAACTACTAAAATCGTCAGTAATTATGCAAAGTATCGCCATATTTTTAGTAAATATTGATAATAACTGACACAGCAATAGGAATTATGCATAATATCTGCTGTGTATACATGTAACGTCACAAAATACGACTGGTCGTGCCTTGAAGCGTGCGTTAAGTTTGAGGTTATGTTTTGATTGTTTTGTTGTTGGAGTTTCTCATCGCAATGACTGCACTACCTATTGATAACATTAAATTTAAATTTGTAGATGAAGTTAAGAAGTTGAAGGGAAGAACAAACTCACGATTGAACATATTATTCAAGGAAGAATATGACGTGCTTTTATCCGAGGTAAGAATGATTTTAAACTAATATAGTGCCTATATTTTAACGTTTAATTCCTGATGTTTTTCTCCAGGTTAAGGATGCTTCATCAAATAATGGTCCCAAAACTCCATTACAGTATCGTAGACTTAAAAGATTTGGAATAGTTGAAGTCGGAAATATTGAAAAGCTTTTAACGCGAAAAAAAGAGCAAACGGGAAAGGAAAATAATGAAGATTCTAATAATATAGTGATTGACATACGAGATGTTCGCTATGTTGTTCCCGCTGAAGAAATGTTTGATATTTTAACCGTTTGTCACAGAAGTATAGGTCACGGAGGAAGAGATCGAATGCAGACCGAAATGTCCAAACAGTATTCGAATATTACACAAGAAATTATTTCAATATACTTGTCACTTTGCGAAGTTTGTCATTTAAAGCGATCCAAAAAGCGAAAAGGTATCACTGTAAAACCAATAATTCACAAAGAATTTAATAGCCGTGCTCAAGTCGACTTGATAGATATGCAGTCTGAAGCTGATGGTGAATTTAAGTTTTAAAGATTAAAATCAAAGAAGGCATCTGAAGTAAGCCAGCATATCAAAGATATTTTTTGTATTTTTGGAGCTCCATCGATACTACACAGGTACCTACTACCTAACTGTTAATGCTTTTAATTATATTTTATGAGTTTTTTTATTTCAGTGATAATGGAAGAGAGTTCGTTAATGAAATAATACTACTTAACAGTGGAATGGCCAGGTCTGAAATTGGTAAATGGAAAACCCCGTCACAGCCAAAGTCAAGGGAGTGTCGAACGAGCAAACGCCGACGTTGAGGCAATGCTAGCCACCTGGATGTCAGACAACAAAACTAGAGAATGTTCGAAAGGCTTATCTACAGTGCAATTTATGAAAAATAGGTCTTTTCATGCTGGAGTGAAAATGTCGCCGTATAAAGCTTTGTTTTGCTGTGAACCGAAAGTTGGTCTTGCCACTAAAAATCTACCTGCAGAAAGTATTCAAGAAATTGATACTGAGGAGGATTTCGATGCTCTTTTGCAATGTTACGACTATGAGATAGATGAACAGGAAACAAATAACGAAAACAACCCAAATAATATTCCAAGAGCACTAGAAAATCGAAATACACAAATTTTGGAAATAAAAAGTGAAGCATCACAAAATCTTCAAAAGCAAGCACATAAAATGCTTAAGACATCCAATTCAAAATATTCGCCATGTTTAGTAGGTACTAATGTCACTGTTCCTATTCCGGATGTCGACCGTGCTCGTGGATCTTTCCGCAATGTAATTGCTGTTGTGATGGAAGTAGATGAAGATAATGGAAATTATAAGCTTGGAACAAAGGATAGGATATTACAGCAATTATATGTGCGCTCTCAATTTGAACCTTGCTTAAATTCGGACTTCCTTCATATTAGTGATGTTCCAACTATTTCAACTTCTCTTCGAAAAGCAGCTGCAATTACTTCTGGTACTAATCAAGGTTATCAACGATGCAATTGCACAAAATTCTGCCAAAACAATACCTGCTGCTGTAAAAAAAATAATCGATTATGCAATAGTAAGTGCCATCAAAGCTCTTCTTCTTCCAATAAATAAATATAAATATAATAATACAAATAATTTTTATGTAGTCGTTTGAAATATTACGGTTATGTTTTTTATTCGTTCTGATTCCTGAATATGTTTAATTTTCATCTATGCATACCATATAGTTTTGTAGAATTACATATATATTAAATGTTATGTAATAGTATACGTACTCGTAATATATTTCTATTTTATCATTAACTACATAGCATTTCAAATTTGACGTTACTTAGTTAATGACGTTACGTGATATTATGCTTAATCACTAACATAAGATATTGGCAGCTTCAGTATGTACGCATAATTTCTAATTTGGACAGTGAATATGCATAATAACTGATTATTTTAGTACTTATTAATAATTCCTGATACGCGCCGTTATTTTGCATACTAACCGGCGGTTTTAGTTTTTACGCATAATTCCTATTATGTGTAGTTTTTATGCATATTAGCGGATTTTGGATATTAGCGGTAACATATACATAGCTATACCATCAATATTGTTTCAGAAAAAATATGAATTCAAGTAAGCCAAGTACTTCAAAAATTAGATATGACGATCCCAATTTCGAAAAAATTGTAATGCAGTGGTTTGAAGAAGAAGAAGAAATATTATCACATGATGAAAACAATTCGGAAGATGATGCTGAATATCTACAAGAAGAGGAAAGATATACGTCAGGAAGTGAAAATTCGTCATCGTCTGAGGACGAAATTAGACCTGCTATCGAATCACAACGAGGTAAAAATTGATACGTTTGGAATTCCAAGTTTCCAAATATTGCTGTACGGACTCCACGCCGTAACATAATTATGAAGATACCTATCTTGGGACAATCTGCTAGAGCATTAGGAAACAATCCAGATATTTTACAAGTTTGGAAATTATTAATTGGCGATGACATGATAAATGAAGTCGTACGCTGGACCAACAGAAAATTGTCAGAAATTAGATCCAAACATAAAAACGAGAAATCTCCGGATTATAAAGACATAGATTCAATAGAAATGTCAGCATTTTTGGGTCTTTTACTGCTTTCTTCTATTTTTCGATCGGCGCATGAAAATTTGCTTTCACTCTTTTCAACAGATACAACAGGTCGTTCTATATTAGAGCAACAATGTCAGCCAAAAGATTTGAAAAGATTCTCATTAGTCTTCGATTTGACGATCCAGATACGAGGGAAGAGAGAAAAGTAACCGATGGGTTTCGGCAGCCATTTCATTTTTATTTGGGAAATTCATTAAGAACTGCCAAAACGCATATAATCCTGGAGCGAATTTGTGTGTGGACGAAATGCTAATTTCTTTTAGAGGCAAATGCTCATCCAAAATGTATATGCCTAATAAACCGAGCAAATACGGAATAAAAGTGATGTGCCTTACTGATGCAAGAACATCTTACTTTTATAATGGTTACATCTACGCTGGTAAGAACAGTGATGGACAAACACTAACTGACTTAGAACAAAGACTTCTGAAGCCAACTCAAACCGTTATTAGACTCAGTCAACCACTTCAGAAATCTAACCGAAATATTACAGCAGATAATTATTTTTCCTCGATAGAGTTAGTCCAGCAACTGAGCAATCGTGGATTCACGTACGTAGGGAGTCTGAAAAAAAATAAGAGAGAGATACCACCAAATTTTTTACCGGATAAAAAAAGGCAAGTAGGTTCTACTTTATATGGCTTCTCTGATCAAGATAACATCACGCTTATTTCTCATGTACCAAAAAAATAAAAAATCCGTGCTACTTGTGTCACCAATGCACTATACTAAGTCAACTGACCAAGAAACTGGTTTACCGGAGATTATTGCGTTTTACAACTCGACAAAAGGAGGAGTTGACTCCTTGGACAGGAAATGTGCAAATTACACATCAGGCCGGCGAACTCGCAGATGGCCTTTAGCAATTTTTTACAGGATTCTTGACATATCAAGTAATTCATTTATTTTGTACAATTGTCTCGAAAATAGAACTGCTATCAATAGATTTGAATTTATAAAAGATTTAGGTTTGAAGTTGATCATGCCACATATTCAGAGAAGAAGCGAAAATCCTAATTTGGATAGAGAGCTAAAGTCTCTCATCACTTCAATACTTGGAAACCAAAAAGAATCTGACACACAGGATAATTCAAGTGATTGCCTTGAAAAAAGAACAACTTGTCGTTTATGCCCATATCATTTAAAAAGAAAAACTAAATACATGTGCGTTATTTGCAAGAAACCTATTTGCTTAGAATGTTCTAAAAAATGCTGCAAAAACTGCATCACTGGAAATTTTCCAAAATAATATCTAACTTAGTTTTTTAATCCATGTTTTTTTGTGTTTTAAGAATGTTCTAAAAATTGTTGTAAAAACCTCATTACTATAAATGGTTGAATGTGTTAACTTTTTTTAGATACATAATTATATTTTCAGTGTTTTTATTTGTGCTTTTTTAGGATTAGATACATACTTTCAAAAATAAATTTGTATATCATTAACTTGTAGCCTTTTTTTCAATCTAAAACAATATGGAAGTGGGAATAGCCAACAAACTTGAAATTTTGCTTAAGCGGTCTACCAGACCGGAGTTCGCGAGTAGCGTTATTCTGCTGAACCTCGCTGGTTAAGGGTTAATTCATAACTTTCACAACATAAAACCCCCCTCTCAGGTAAATTCTTGGAAGCAAAGATAATTACCTTAATTAGCTCCCTGCTATGTGTTGGCTTTGGAAATTCAGGGTGAGCATTTGTGCACAGCTCGTGAGAGTACTAAGAAAATTCGGATCTAGTTTTCCATTCACTCTCTTACACGAAAGCTGTTACGTCAAGCCATTTGAATCGATCAATCGTAGTCGAATTGTCCGTTCTAGATTCATAGCCGGAAAATTCCATAGTACAGACTAAATATATAATTGAATAAGCCGCGACGGGATTATAAATTTCAGAAAAAAATAAAAATGTGAGAAAGAAGGGGATAAAATAAATATTAACAGACAGTCAGTCCTCCATCAGTTAATGTAAATCGCGTCTCAAATCACCGTATTCGGACACTTGAATATACCGTTTTTAAGTATTATAACTTGGTTGAATATTAGTAGCACAAAATTAGCTGAAATTGCTTTCTTTTATAGCCAACTAACTTACATGCCAAGTCGTCGTTATCGTATCGACTTACGCAATTTTTTGTGTGCCAGGTAACGGCTCGTCGGTACCTGATTATCTGATCGATTTTTTATTCCTTTAAATAAACGCTGGGTATCAATTTTGGACATATACTGTACACTTCACTAAGGAATCACTTTTTTATAAACTGCATTTCAGACGAATCTCATGAAGACGAATCGGAAGAAGAACGATGCTTTCATCACACAAGATATGAAGGTATGTATTTGGAAAAAAAATGACATTAGATATCCAGTATCCAGTAAACATGTAGATTACATGCAGGTGCTCCTGATGAAGCTGGTTTATGATTTTTCTGTGAATCTTTGGGTTCATACCTATTGTCAACATTCCACAAAGAAGACAATCGAAAGTCGTATTCTTCGGAAAAATTATAGACTATATTACACTGCTGTGTGTCTGACGTCGCTATAAACTTTTCGATTCGCTAATACATTCCATATAATTATCAATTTGAAAGTTATTCTTATCATGACTAAAAGTTGGCTTTAGGTAGGAGACCTCCGTGGAGAACACCAAAAAGACCCACCAAAAAACCCAAAAAGAAAAAACCCACGCTAACACCAGCACCAGGTAATGTACACATCATGGGAGTATTGGTACTATTTCGAGTGTGGCACGATTTCAAAGTGCGTTTGGCATCTTAAGCTGGGAAATATATACAGGGTGTCCGCAAAGTTGGGGTTTTCCTTTTCAGAAACAACTACCCTTGAAATAACAAAGGTAATGTGTAGTGAAACGAGGGCGACCAAGTGAAAAAAATAAAGGAAAAAGTACTCACTCTCCAGTTGACGAGAAGGGCTAAGTACGTCTCTGCCCGAAATCATACCGCTCCAACAGAAAATGAAATCAGCTGATGCGCTACTGAGCGGACGCAGAAACCACATTGATTGTCTTACACTTAATGGCACATCTTCTAACAAGGAAGGCAAAATGTTGGGTAAAAAGTCTAGGTATTGCATCCCGTCCAATCGATTTGGGAGAATAAATGATCCAATGAGCATACGGTTCACCATGCCAGCCCAAACATTCACCGAAAATGTTGAAAATGTGCCCGACGGACAGCGTGCGGATTTTCTACTGACCAAACATGAGTGTTGTGAAAGTTATTCACCCCATTACGCGTGAACGTAGATTCGTCTGTCACCAATATGCACTTCAAAAAGTCCGGATTATTGTCATGTTGATGCAACAACCACTCACAAAACCGCACTCTTGCTGGAAAATCGTCAGGTTGAAGGGCTTGTACACGTTGGACGTGAAACGGATACAGCCCCTCTTCGCGCAGCGTTTGCCACACTTTAGTTTTTGATACTTGCACTTCTTTAGCCACGTCTCTAGTGCTTGTTGAGAGATTCTCGTCTACGCGATTACCTCTAAACGCGTGACCGTAACCGTCGGTGTTGAAGGTTGCATACTGACCTGACACACTGACCCCGACCCAGTTCTGTCGTCGGGTTGAGCCAGTGACCTTGTATCACTCGGTGATGTCGCGGCTACAGGACGGTATTCAGATATTTTTGATGTTGCAGAGCCCTTTATCTCGGTTCCCTTAAGACATTGGTGTATATGGTACTAAGAAAAATTGCTTATGTTTTCAAGATCTACACGTCGTGTAAAAGAAAACCCCAACTTTGCGGACAACCTATATATATACAAAATAAAGGGTGTCTCATAAATATTTTCTTATTTTATGCCATAAATAAAAATACTTAGAATATTTTTACAAAGATAAATTTATTACCAAACGAAAGCCTAAACATTAATTTTATTTATGGAAAAGAGTATCGGATAAATGAGCACCGTTCATGTTTTCACACTCTCTTAATCTCGAACTGAAGTTTTCGATCACTCTCCGAAGCATTGCTCGAGGAATGGCGTTTATTTCATCTGTTATTTTTTGCTCCAACTCTCTCAAATCTTGTGGCGGTGGGGTGTATACCTTACTCTTCAGGTATCCCCATAAGAAAAAATCTGCTGGTGTCAAATCGGGACTTCTCGGTGGCCAGTTAATGTCTCCTCTGCGACTGATGACCCTCTCTGGGAATAACTGATGAAGAGCATCCAAGGATTCATTCGTGACATCAGAAGTCGCTCCATCTTGCTGGAAAAACGTGTTTCTATTGTAGCCACCATGGTTTTGTATAGCTGGAGTTAAAAAAGTCCTAATCATGTGGCAGTAGCGCTCAGATGTTACAGTTTGAGCTTGGCCACGATTGTCTTCAAAAAAATACGGGCCAATGATTCCTTGCCCTGACATAGCAGCCCAGACGATAACTTTAGGCAAGTGTAATGGCGTCTCATGAAGATTTTGCGGGTTCTGCTCGGCCCAATATCGGCAGTTTTGTTTATTAACATGCCCGTTAATGTGAAAATTCGATTCATCAGAAAACCATATGTTGTTGTAACCGTTAAAATGCTCTCTCATTGTTCTACAGAACTCTAATCGCTTAGCGGGATCTTGTGGTTTTAATTGTTGTGTAACAACAATCTTGTATGGGTGAAAATGCAAATCCTTGCGAATAATGCGATGAACAGTTGACTTATGCAAAGTTAGAGACGCTCCACGCAGTCTTAATGATTGCCGGGGATCCTCGTTAACGGACTGGCGCACACGTTCAATATTTTCGTTCGATCTTGCTGACCTTGGCCGTCCAGGCGGTTTACTAATACACGTGTTTCCAGTGCTCTCGAACTTTCTTACCCAATATTTAATTAAATTTGCGCTTGGGACATCTCTCATTCTTGCTATGTTATAATGATTTCTGTACAAACGACGTACAAGCACATAAGAATCCTTGTTTTTATAGAACTCGCGAACACAAAAAGCACGTTGCGGCCCTGTAAAACGCTCCATTGCAACTAAAATTTAACAATGTTGCCAAGCGTTTGTCAACTGTCTCGTTTCTCCGGAGCATGCGTATTCCGCCAGAGGACTGATCTAAAAACGAAAATATTTCTGAGACACCCTTTACAATTAATTGTTAATTGGGAAATTGGCAAAACTCTTAGGCTTAAGTTGACTCTTTTCTCATAGAGAATGCCGAAAGCTTGATTTTATCGTCAAAAGAGTCAACTTAAGCCTAAGAGTTTTACCAATTTCCCAATTAACAATTAATTGTATTTTGTACCAACTGGTCGTTGGCTTTGGCAATGACTACCGCTCATATATGTATATATAAATATATATAATTCACCTTTATTCTATTTGCAACATATAGCATAGATTACTAGCAACATACCCATTACACGAAAGCTAAAGCGGTAGCCATGATGTCGAGGCACAGGGTCATCGTATTCGAATCCGAAGACAAATCCATAGCATCCGCCATGACAGCGCGTCGTCAACGACGCACATTTTAGAGTCCATATAACATAAAAAAACTGCTCTGTTCGTATAACATGTCAGTAGGAATAGCGAATATAAACAAAGTTGTTAGAAAGAGACCTTAAATACATCTACAAACATTTCCTAAGATTTGTTTCTGAATTCAATTGTATGTAGAATTTTTGTTTCGCACAATGTAATGACTCATCGATATTCATGAAAGATTTATCTTGACTTTTTGAAGCAAAATTTAGACGCATCACAGACAAAAATTCACCACGTCAACTTATTTCAATTTTGAGATTTTGTATCATCGATAATCGAGCAGTACCGACTGCTTTCTGTTATAGCGGTAAATAAATAAATAAATCAAATTCCAGATTCTGAGACACAATCAAATTTAAGTACTGAAGGTAAACCGACTCCAGGATCTGGGGGACAAACAAAACCAGAGGACAAGGATAAAACAGATCCAAGTAGTACAAGTGAGTCGATTTACTCAAAAATGATAACTTACTCTATTTTTTATGCAATGCTGTAATCAAATTAGTAAATGTCATGTTCAGTTTTTGATATATTTCAAAGACTGGTGTATATTCAATGCTGTTCATAAATGCCCCCATACTAATTTTTTGAACAAGTTGAGTTTGCAAGCTGAAATTCGGAGTGATGAAGCTATTGCGTCATACTGTATTTTAGCGAAAATTGACATATGAACGTTTGACCTTGAAACGTTTTTTTTTTTTACTGAAATAGAGGATCATGTGATAATTCATTTTGAAGCGCGTTATGACTGATTTATAACCCTAAAATATAACATCAGTATCTTTCAACATGCCAGACTGGTGGAAGATGAGGGTCTGAGTCATTCTATTTAAAAATAATGTCAATATGTCAATTTTTCGATCGGAAAGTCCCATATTTTATGCTACATTCAGATAGATCCTCGCAGAAGAAGGTTGACCTTGATATAACATACTACAGTGTTTTTATCATTAGTTGTTGCGCTATAGGCGACTAAATCTGTAAAAACGTTGGACTTTGACTGGCCACCAGTCCGCCATTTTGGAAGATAATGAATGAATGAACAGGGTTATGAAGTACTCATAAGGTGCTTCAAAATGATGTATCACATAACCCTCTTTCCTTTTAAAAAAAATGTCCAAGATATCGGTCAGTCGCTAACTTGAAATTTTCAACTACCACTTTTACGCTAAAACAATATTCACGCATTCATTTCTTCATCCTGAATTTTAGCTAGCTAACTTGAGCCGGGTATTATGTAAAAACCTCACTAGGATCATTGTGAACGTCTATCTACGGACTCAACTAAACTGCACGCATTGTTGGTTGCATATGTTTTGTGAAGCCGAGTGGTCTGTAGCTTTTATCTCAGCAAGATCGCATCTGGATGATTATGTGTGAGGTACCTGATGGTATTAACGCCCACTTAACAAACTTTTTTTAAACTGCTAATTACGAGTGAGGATTTATAAATTACTGCATTAGTAAAAACATCTTTATTCTAAATAAATACAAATTTCAGCCTTTCTTAGCTCTTAAAGCATCACAGGGCCTTTATAGGCAATTTCAAAAAAAATGTGTTTTCGGGCGTTATTAACCACCTAGTAGTATATTAACGCCCTATGGTAAATGCAGTATAAGGTACATAAAAGTAAACAAAAATATAATGCTTAAAACTATTTTACAGTTTAAAAAAAACAAGTCTTCAATGCTTAGGCGTTATCACACACACAAAACTTTCTAATAGGAACGAAAGAAACATTTTTCTTTGCTGCAAAGTGTAAAAGAACAATAAATAAATAATGCAACGAGTATTAGTAGAGCATTCATGCATTAACATGATGAAATACTAACACTCTGGGCATTCAAAAATTAAATCGCCTTCTGACAGACGAACACACCCCTCATAGTACCAGACTTGGCATTTCATGCACTGTCTCATTGTCTGATAAACGATTTTCTTTGCAAGCTGGACAATACCAATCTGCAACTCGATCTGGAAAAATCCTTCAACTTGATGGATTTTGCTGGAACAAGTCCTTAGTAATCGTTTGTGCTTTGTAGTTCATTGCTTTATTCCGTGGCGGTTTAACATTCACAGCTTGCTTCATATCTGGTGTTGGCAGAAGTTTTTGGAACGAAGTACTAGAACGATAGTTAATCCGTTTTTGTAACTCTTGAAGTGGCCAGTTAATTTATACCTTATTGGTCTGCATGTGTATAAAATCAGTGGTATTTGGTGTGTGAGAAAATTATTACTGAATATGCTGCCAATGAAGTATATATATTAGCTGTGCCCGACGGGTTATTATGAGTTGTCCTCTCTGAAGACACACTTTGTTCAAAGTTAGAAATTACGAAAAACTTTGAGAATTACGGAAAATCATCACCGCGCCCGCGTTGTATGTAATTACTGTTGGCATGTAATTCGACAGCGTACATTGAATATAATTATTTCGTATCTCTCTCATTTTTTAAATTCATCAAATTTGCATATGTAATTTCCAGAATGGATAAGAAAAAGTGGATGCGCAACTAATTTCTAGCTTTGAATCTCAAGCAAGTATATTTGAGACAAGAATCCAATGGAATTGTCATCAACTTACAGCATAGACCTCCTGTAATGCCATTTCTGAAGCAGATCACATCAGAACCAAACATTGATAACTGAAGCCTCATGACGTTTAGAAACACGTACAACTAAGTGCTGAGTTAACATCTTGTAGAAAAACTTACATAATGTCTCAAGAAACCCGTAGAATGTCAAAAAGAATCGGCATAATGTCACTTTTCAAGATACGTAATACGTAATAAAAAAATAAAGTGAGGGAGAACTTTTGAAAATCGACACTTTTCTCCAGCTCTTCAAACTTGCTCAGCATTCTAAAAAGGCAGCAACTTCCAACCAGCAATAATGTTTCAAAACTGGCAGATATATAGCTACGATATAAAATATCTTCAGGCCCATATGCCGGATGTGCGTTACAGACAGACATGAGTCAAATACTGAAATACGGTATTCAAATACGAATCCTGTATACTAAGTTTCAAATAGTAAATAGTATTCGAATAGTCCATATTCGAACCCAAAGACAAAAGTATTCGAATACCACCGTTTTGAGTACATGGATTCATTTAAATATGAATCATTATGCAACTAAAAAAAAACATGCGCACTTCTAACTTGATTTTTATTCATGTACCTAGGTTATACAAGTATATAAAAAAATTAAAAATACATGACTATATTAAATAAACAAAACTAAAAGAGAAAATATCATTTTGTTACACGTCACAGTGAGATTGGAAAAATTGTATAGTCGAAAACATTCTTTGATTTTTATTAGATTTTTAATCAATCGAATAAAACTTAATAAAAAAATATTAATCTTCCTCAATGTACCTGCATTAAAAAATAAACTTACCTTCTTTGTATATCTACTTTATCTAGTATCACACAATTTTAACAGGTATTAAAAATTACTCTTGAATAGAATAGCAATACTGCTCAAGCCCAAGTGCATACGTAATGTAATCTGGTTCATGAAGCGACCTGTCAGCATCGCGAATTCAGAAGCACCACCGTTCACACAAAAAAATAACTTTACGTAGGTATTTTTGTTTGTGGCATCCACAACCACTGCGAACATGTTTTAACACGCTTAAGTTGCGTAAACCGTAATGCAATATTCATAAGAATAGCCAAACAGGATTAGAATACAAAGTGGATATTCGAATATTGGGATCCATAAGCGGTATTCAGAATACCGAGTACTGGCCAAAAAAGTATTCAGTTAAATACCAAACACTCAAATATATTCGAATACCGGTCAAATGTACTCAGAATAGTATTCAAAGTACCGACTATTGGCATATTACCCAAGTCTGTTTTTTTTCTTAAAATATGTTATGCAACATGCCCCCGGAAAATGTTGTCCGTACAAAGTTGCTGGGCACACCTTGCAAGCTGAAATGTCCATAGCGCAAATGCGTACATGCCAGTTAGAAATTTGTCTAGGGGTGGGCGCAGCATAACGTTAGTCATGACCCCCTCTGGACGAGTCCGGATCGACAACAAATATTTTTGCTGCCAACCTCCCACTCTCGAAGCATCTTCTTGAGCGTGAATCCTAACACCACCCTAGATAGCTTCCTATTATCTAGTTTCCCATTTTTACCTGATGACTTCACAGTTGCCACGTATAATGATAAAATTTAAAACGAGTAACTGTTGCAAGTTATCGACATGTATTTCTTATTGCAGCTCCAAGCAAACCAGGAAGCACTCAAGATCCTAATCAAAAAGATTCTAAAACACCGAAGCCCGGGATAAATGAATCGGATAAACAAGATACAACAACCAAAAGTAGCCCGTCAACAGAGAACACGTCACCGCAGCCATGATTAATTATTCATTACGTTACAATAATGGAAGACATTTTGTTGCTAGATTAGAGGAGTTCGTTTCTATCCATACGAGATAAGAATACATTATATACTTAGTGACATAAAAAAACAACACCCGGTAATAATGAATTTGTCACACACATTTTTATTTGATCAAAAGTTCAGGAAAATCCAACCGTTGGAAAAAAGGTAAAAAATTAATTACATGTTTTGAGGCTCCACGATGTCTCGTGAACTCAGAAACACGTCTGGGCTTGCTTCTAATAAGATGGATCAACTTCCTTTCAACGTATCTCATTCCAGACTACTTCAACTATAAAATATTTGTAATAAGTCCACTCTTACTGGGTCTTTTTTTTTCTATATCACTTATTAGATTACTTCACCTGTTATTTGTTGCTTGCATGTGAATTAGATTATGTTCGAACCCAACGCCATATGGACTAAAATTGGTCAAAGCAGTCACATATCCGAGATATAGAGTCAACCTACTTGACACTGATTTTTAAAGGACTGAATAAAATTTCTGTGCTTTTTTATTTTTGTTTACCTATAAAACTTGAGTTACCTGCTGTTAAATTTATTCAAAAGAGTGGAATTGAAAGTTGATTAGATATGTTCACTTTCAAAAGACACATTACCTCATTTTAGAATTTTTTCGCGTTTGCAATACAGAAAGACATTCAATATTCTTTGTTCCCAGGTATTAAAAATACCAATTAAGCTCTTCAGATAAAATAAATATTTTCTACGTTTCTAAATTGCGCTCCATTTCCCGTTTCCATGGTGACGTAATTATTAATCTCAAATTGCCGACTGGGAATACTCATGATATTCAAATATCGCTTAATTATATCTATTTACTTACAGTCTATATTGCTACAGAATGATGTCTTCAACCCTAGTTTATATTCAAGCACTACAAAATTACGAGTATTGTTTAATAAATGGCGTCAAGTAGGTTGCCTCTGCACTTCCCACGAAACTCCGTCATCAGTTCATAAAGGATTATGTTCAGCCTATGAGAGAAAAGTTAGTTACGAACATATAACTGATTAGTTAAACAGATCACATCAGCCAAACAGCCCCATACAATTAGTCCACAGACATTCCTTCCCTGCCCTACCGGTAGTACCATCCGTCTGGCAAAGTCGTATCACCCCATAAATGTCCATACGACGCGACACGGCGGCAGGAATGGCAGGACGCATCAATACTGGTACGCTCGAAAATATTTTTTTCTTCGTTTCTTGTCCCAATGTCTCACCGCCACTGGAGCAATTTTCAAGAACTACAAAGCGTTTTCGTCCGTGGCGCAGTAGTAACTTTCTGGGAACATTTTATCCAAATCCAAGCGATACTTTCCAAGTTATAAACGGGCCAAGGATTAGCAGACAGACAAACAGACTGACGGAACTGGTGACATACATAACATAGCATATGAATACCTTGCAATCACATGGTTCATCAAAAACTTGACAGTAACCAAAAGTATAATCAAATGATAACTCATGAGTTATTATGACGTCACTGCGATGCGCGTAAAAATGCGGCGTTTAAATCAACGTCATTTGCATTGCAGTTTTAAATATTTAATCAAAAGTAGATACAGACTTTTCCATTAATAAAATATGTATTAATGGTATTATATTCACGTAAGTAATCATCAGGAAATACAAAAAAAATTACGGGAATTCCCTATTTGTGTGGGGAGCAAAGGTCTTCTGAAGTTTGCTCAGTGCCGAAGATTTTCAGCTATGTATATTATTGAAATTGCTGTCTATAACAAACAATGCTAGCATGTAAAAGAGATTCAAAATCCAGAGCCAGTATGGTTTTTCTAGCATTTCCAAGGCACTCTGATTTAGATTGTTTTGGATGTGTCTATGAGGTCATATTCACAGAGCGTCGTCCACGAAGTATTGACAGTTGATTACATGAAAAACCTTCCTAGGATTCTACAGTGCCCACAAAAATCAACCTTGTAATTCGAACTAAGGTACCTGAACCAAATAAGGCCAAGCCCCCCCCCCCTTTATTTTAAGTATTCCCCAATAGACCCTAAAAAATAAGATTCTCTCTACGTCCCTGGATTTTCTCTCATTGAAAACATATTAGGTACCATACTTTACTTCAGAATAGTGTAATAAAGCCTCATTATGCATGCAAAAAGAACCAATTTCGGGGCTCTTAATAGGCGTAACAAGTTAAAAGGGTATGTATGATAATTTAAATCCCATAATATTTTACCTATGAAGAAAAAAGCAGAGATAAATTGCCTTCAAAATTATTGTCACGTGCAGGCATTATTATGTTTTAATATTATTAGCTTTCAATAGACTAAAGCAAAGCAGGATCAATTTTTGCGGAGAAATACAAAAAAATACTACCCATTGGAGCTAAACAAAAAAATTAGCTTTTTATAGGTTCTTACCGAGCTACTTTAGCACCTCTGCTCTGAGGTTCATTTAAATTTGCATTATTTGCCAAAAACTCGTACACCATTTCCACATTCACATGGGGTAAATTTCGCGAATCAGCTTTTTGATAACATTGACGCATTGTGATAGTACGAGGGATGATGAAGTTTTGCATATGGAAATAAAACAACACGTAAGGTAGTTGTTATTCCACTCGTTTGCTGGCAGATCCAAAACAGCATTTTTGAATGCGTCAACTGCTTCTCCTGGTGACTGGAACCTTTGACCACGCAGTCTGTTTTTAATTTTCGGGAAAGTAAAGAAATCGTTAGGACTTAGATCGGGACTATATGGAGGATGGTCCAATAGTTCCACGTTTTCTTCCGTTAAATACTGCCTTGTTTTTGGGATGTGTGCGAGCTTGCATTGTCTTGGTGGAGGATGATTCTTCTTTCGGGGTTGATTTTTCGAAGCTCGGTGATGACTTTTGGCAAACAAATGGTGGTATACCAATCCGCAGTAACAGTTCTTTGCTCATTAAGAGGAATTGTTGCAATATGACCCACTTTTGACACAAATGTCGCGACCATCTTTTTCGAAACACTTCGAGAACGGATGACTTTTGTTGGCTTTTCTTCACCTTGGAACACCCAAACAGCCGACTGTCGTTTATTTTCTGGTTCATAACAGTAAATCCACGATTCATCATCACTAACAATGCTGTACACATTTTTTGATTTTCCGGAATTGAAACGGTCAAGCGTTTTGTAACCTGGCTGCTTTCTGCTCTTTAGTCAAGAGGTGGGGTATCCAACGAGAAACTAATTTTCTTACTCCTAATTCTTCATGTAAAATTTTTTGAATTGAGGTCTTTGAGATCTTCAAGGACGCCTCAATCTCGCGATATGTCACATGTCTATCTTAAATGATGAGTTTGCGCACAGCATCGACGTTTTCCTGGGTGACTTCCTTTTTTGGTGCACCCAACCTGGGATCGTCGCTAAGACTAACCCGTTCACGTTTGAATTATCGGTACCAATGGAAAATTGTCGACTGATGTGGCGCTTCGTTGCCGAAAACAGACGGTAACTCAGCAAGGCATTTTTGTTGCGATAATTGTCTTTGAAAGTTGTAATAAATTATGGCGCAAAAATGTTCTCGGTTGAGTTCCATTTTTCTAATTACTTGGTGACACTTAAAAATTCACTGTAGTGAGAACACTGCACGTATTGTTGTGAAACTTTGAATTTAAGTTTATTAAAGAGTGAGGTCAGGATTCAGTACTGACGTTCGATCCGCGCGGCCTACTATGTTTCTATTTGCAAAACTTAAAAGACATCCCTCGTACACAAACGTCGGTCCCAGTTTATATAAATTCGTATTCGTATACTCTTCACTCCGTATACAAGACACAAGATACAAGTACTCTATGAGGGCGACAGCACATGTCAGGCTACTGACGTCACGCGGTCTAGTCTCGCGTCGATCATTGATTTTAAAAAGCTTTCCGTCGACGTAAATATTAATATTTTGCACTGAAATTTCTTTGACCGTTTTTTAATAACAAAATCCCTCGATTTTAATTAAAATAAGAGAATTACGAAAAATGTCGAACCTTCCTATTTGCCACGCTCCATGGTATGTCTCAAATGAGACACTACACAGAGACCTTGACATTTCTTATTTGAGGGATTATGTCAAGCTTCAGGCGCAGCGACGTTATAGTCAAGCGGAATCGCACAGCAACCCTCTGTTGCGTGACTCAGTGGACTACACAGTGGAACAAGTTCGTAAACATTCAAGGCCACGGCTCGCACTGTAATCAAAAGTTAGCACGAATTTTTAGTAAACTCAAAATTACACTCTAACAAAACCGAATCAAAAATTTGTTTCGTTCACCTCAAAGTTAATCCGTGTACCAAGTCAAAAAAACCTAGGTGTTTTCTCTTAAACTAAGCACATCTGATTTCTTTGATCTTCTCCTTTTTTCTTCTCTTTCCCTTTCTCTTTTTCCTTGACTTTTTCTGGTTTCTGGGCAACCAGGACTGACAGATTCGACTAACGTACGTTAGACAGTGACTAATGGACAAAGGTCCTACGGATCGCCCAGACAAACATATAACGAATAGTATATAGTATATTCATTTACTTTAGTTTTTTTAACCTAAAACAGCTCACAAATGTCATTGTAAGTGAGCGATAAAATCTACTTCATCACATACCCATCATTCTCAAAATCACCAGTATCCAGCCTTCCTCATGTTTCAACTCGCCAAAGTAATTAAAAAAATTGTCGCTGGTTATGCTGCCTCCAATAAAAGACGACTTCTTTCTCTACTAGAGCGAAGAAAAAAGCTACCCCAAATACTCTTCAAAACTCTCAAAGCTCCCATGTACTTCGTACCCGGGTCCTTCGCACTACCTGCAGTGAACAATGTGAACAACTTGAACAGTGAAGTGACTCAGTTTGATGTGGAAGAGAACATTGGCCACCTTATGACACTGGCCAGGATCGCATTGGAAAAAGGCGAGGTCGACAAAGCCGAAGCCATTTTGGAAATGGGGATCAAGATTTGCGATGAATACCAGACGTATTTCGCTATGCCTTACATGTACGATATTTTGGCTTCTATTTCGTTTGCTTTGGGCAATTATACCAGAGCTGAAACCCTACTCGTTCAGGTTCGTACTTTTCATGATAAAAAGTTATTCCTAAATTCACACAAAAATTGAAATAAACAGAAAATATACTGTTTTAGTTAAACTATTGAAATTATGGGACGCTTCTTTTCAGATTATTGAAAAAATGATACAACTTGGAGTACCAGAATACGACACTCAGATTGTAGATTTCAAACTCCGTTTGTCCAGAATATACAGCGAAAAAAACGAGAATACTTTAGCCGAAATCGGATTCAGAAACTGCCTGAGAACTCAAAAGACCAAAATCCAAAATGGCGATACTTCCACTAAAACAGGAGTGTTGTATATAAATTCGATGTTTTGGTAAGAATAGAATATACTGTACCTAAAAAAATTTCAACGGCTGAAAAAGATTAATTACAACCATCTTTCAAAGGTGTTCCCGTTTATCCTCACATATTGAGATACAGTAATGGACAAAAGTATATAGACAAATATGAATATTTACCTAAATACCTTTAGAAAACGAATTCACACTTCATTGCTCCATAAACAAATGCATTATTAGTAGAAAAACTAAATTCCTTGTTTTTACATTATCTGCAATGAACACAATACGTCTGAATATAAGCACTTTTTTATGAGGGACAAAAATATGTAGACAAATTCTTTTCAACATTAGTTTAGTCCAGTTTCGTATCAGAAGAGGACTAGTTTGTGTTCGTCAAGTATTGTGGAATAAGTTGAGTGATTTTAAGACCATGCCGCGTGGTCCAGAAATTTCTTTCGATGTGAAAACTAAGATCATTGAGTTATACAACGTCAAGTCGACATTGCCAAAAATTTGAAGCTGAAGCGTAAAGCAGTTTGGGCAATATTGAACAAATATAAACAAAAAGGTATCTTGGAAGCCTCGAAGAGAAGTGGTCGGCCTAGAAAACTAAATGCTAGATCAGTTAGATTAATAAAAGTAATTTCGTCCAAAGATCCGTTCAAAACCCCAAGACAAATAAAAGCCGAAATCGAGACAAAAGGATTTGTCAGTGTTTCTACGAAAACTATAAGTAGAAGATTAAATGATTTGAAATTATTTGCACGTCGCCCGAGTAAGAAGCCGCTAATCTTGAGGAAAACCCGCAAGGACCGACTACAATTTGCACGGTTGCATCTTGATTGGAGCATCTGTGACTGGAAGAGGGTATGTTTCAGTAACGAATCCAAGTTCAATATGTTTGGATCAGATGGTGTTCATTACGTTAAACGTCCTAGTGGACAAAGACTGAACCCCAAGTACACTTTGCCCACTGTCAAACATGGATGCGGGTCAGTTATGATTTGGGGGTGCTTTTCGGGGTTTGGAATAGGACCTTTACATAGAATAGATGACATTATGGATAAGTTTGTATACACAGACATACTAAAGCATGTCATGTTACCCTATATGGAAGATAATATGCCCTTAAGATCAATCTTCCAGCAAGATAATGACCCGAATCACACTTCAAATCTCCCAAAGAAATTCTTTCTGGATGAAAAAATACCAGTTCTTAAATGGCCTTCACAGTCTCCCGAAATCTATGGAAATGCTTAGATAAGCAAATACGAGATAAAAATTATTCACACAAGGATGAACTTTTTGCCGCTTTAGAGTAAAAGTGGAGACAGATTGATGAATCGTATAACAAGAAACTTCTACAATCAATGCCGAGACGATGCCAGTCAGTGATTGATAATAATGGTTATGCTACAAAATATTAACACAAACATGGTTGGTTTTCTATAATTCAATGAACTTTGCTTCTTTTTCTATAATTGTTTTGCTTTGTCTATATATTTTTTCGTCCTTCATAGTTCCAGTTTTTTCAATTAATTTTTTATTGAAGGTAGCCTAATGAATTTATTTCTCAAAATTTTCAAATATCATTTTACATTCTTGAATTCCTCTTCTCACAAGTTTTTGTCTAATATAACGTTTATGGACGTTTGTATGACTTGAGTTACTAATACCACAGGCAGACCTTCGACTTAATTGCACGAGGTTCAGTAGCTTTAATCTATAATGAAAATGTATTAATTCTAAGGATCTGCCGTTATCAGTTAAATGCTATTTTATATTTTGAAAGGTAATGTAATGTATTTCATTCACCTTTATCCCTGATAATTACAAAAATGTGAAAAAGGTCAGCTGTAATTAAAAACTAGTCTAGTACAAAAGTAGTACAAAAACCCCCATAAACCTTATATCAAAAAAGCTTTGGAAAGGGGAATCAAGCAATTAAAATGAAAATGTAGAGAAATCATTGATTTTCCATTCTGGGACACTTTGTATAAAAAAATAAGTGAATAGAGAGAAAGAATGGGATCATAAAGCTTTCCTGACGAAAAATTCAGTAATCTAGCTATAACAGTTGCCAGTTGATAAAGCTGAGTGTTTTAAAGGTTGTCCAATAACTCAACAATTTGAAAATAGAACCCAATATGTTTTAACAAATTGCTTCCTTTGAAAAGGCTTATCCAGATCTGCAATAAAATGTGAGGCTTTCAATGTACAAAAATGTATGTTCGGGTCACCACATAGTTCTGAGTCACCGTATAGATATGAAAATATTTCCAAGTAATTACACCAAACACTCATGATGTGCACATTTATGAAAAAGTCTTCCAACACTTGTCAAATCATATTAGAATTGCGAAATAATTGTGAAGTCTGGTCTCATTGCTGCAAGTTGTTCAAGGAGGTATTCAAAACATGGACGCATAAAATGGGTACACCAATTTCTGTGGGAAAACTTTTTATTCGACGACAAAGAATGAGAAAACGTGTTCTTTTTTTTGATACAATCGAAAGTGTTGGAAGAAACGGAAAAACTCTACATGGTATTTGATTCTTATTCTGGGTACCGATGGAACATGACCATACATGCGGTACTGCTCCACAACTTTATCACGAAATTTTATATCTGAGCTTTGGACGGCAGGTTACTTTGCCACCTGACGTCTAAAAGAAAAAGTGAAAACACTTAGAACTTACTTTTTGGAGATAAAATAATGATGTAACTCCTGAAACTTAACATGTGCTGTTCATGTTCATAGGGCACTGATGTGGTGGACAGAAATTAAAAATTTTATTCGGCTGGACAATGGAGTCATCCTATAGAATCATGAAATTAAAATTCTTCAAAGATCCTATTTCTGTGAGACACCAACAACTAAGATTCTCATAGACCTTGAATCTAATCATCATTACTAGGTCAATATAAGATATGCTTTTAGGTACAGTCTCCACAAAATCAAGAACAAAGAATTCAAAATAGCAAAAACATTAATTGACGATGCTTACAGCTACTCTATGAAAATCAAAGGTTTGAGTCCGTATCAGGAAATGATCATTCTGTACACCTTAGCAGATTTAAACACTCACATGGAAGAATTTGATGTTGCATTACAGAACATACAAAGTGCTATCCTTCTTGGAAAAGGTAGGGTATTTTCACATAATTGTCTATAGATTATACCTCACTACAAGATCAACACAAGCACTTCAAAATGTTATCTAAGAAATCGCATAACTTTCGAGAGTTTTTGTCAGGTGATTTCTGAACGGATTGGTCTAGGCTACGCCAATGTGCACAATAATTTCGACGCGATAGTACAACTTTCTGGTGAAGAATCTGGCAAGGCTATACGGCAACTACTCGTCGGATCGGGCGGTGCGCGGTGCAGATGTGCATGATTACGCGTGTGTTGAAAATATTTTGTCACTGTTTTAAAGGGAAATCAATGATACGAGTATGTGAAATGTGTAGGTACGTAAAATTACTGGAGTTGAAGCACGCATAAATATGCTAACGTCAAAAAAATGAGACACAACCTCCCCTCCCCCTTACAATCCATGAGTCCCAATTTCTAAGCCCTATATTTTTGCCGAAAATTATCAGCAGCATCTGAAATGTCATAAAACAAATCTTGGACTATTTTTATTTTTGTCGTCTTTTGTTTATAGCTCCGCTGCCACTGGACCGATTTCCAATAACTGCAAAGCTTTTTCGTCCTTGGCATAGTAGTAACCTTGTGTAAAAAGTTCATTTAACATCCAAAAAGCATTTTAACTCATTTCCGAAATGTTTGCAATTTTTGGTTTTCTAGGAATCGGAAGCTTGGACTTGCCAAAATGCTACCTGAAACTTGGCAAGATCTACATTAAACTGGGATCTACTAGCATGGCAGAACATTGGCTGACAGAAGCCTCGGCATTGGCGGAGCTTTTCAATGACAGAGAAGTCTACGAAGATGCTGAAGCAACTCTCAGGGGACTCACAGACGGCACCAGTTATTTTTCAAGAACAACCAAAGTTTCTTTAAAAAATGCCAACAAAACAGATGAATAATTTGTAATGTGTTTACTTCCCGTTGTAAAAAAGCAACTATCATTTTTGAGTTTTATTTGCATGCGATATAAAATATATCACAGAATCTCAATAATAAGGTTTTGTGCGAAAACTAGAGTTGAGTGCCACCTATAAGCAGTTCCTCCTATCGTGTTACTATCGACTCATAAGTACGGCAACAACAGGGAGTTCTAAGTACTCACCATGCTACCTGCATTGGCCTTACTGACGACTACTAAAAAGCATGAAACATCGTTGTATACCCTAGAGCCTATTCCGTCACAGCTTTGGTGCGATATTTTACATTTGACTTTGGAGGGTAGGATCGTTCAAAGGAAAACGTCAAAAGAAGCAAATTATATTCCATCGAAAAAAAAATTGAAATTATTCGACTCTGGTAAGCTTTATGTTCCTATGTATTGATTAATTTTCTGTAAATAGCAACAGGTGGCATGGCTGTGTATTGTGAGGGTTTTCTTAATCCTTTGACCAAACTTGCAGAATATGGATTCGTATAGTAAGAAAATGAATGCAAATGACAATGAAGACCGTACAATTCCTTTCAAGTTATGTTTCGCTAAAAGATACATGCCTGGTAGATCGAATATTGAAGTAGGAAAGCCTTTGTTAATACGTAAGTATTTAGTAACTGTACAGTAAGATTTATGTAAACACATATTCCAGCAACGTTTTTTGATGTTTGTAAAAGTTTGCCACTGTTTTTCTAATCTTACCCTGTTCATCTTCAATTTTAGCTCCGATTGTAAATGAAAAGTTTTACATAAAGCGAGAAAAAGATAGTGAATTTGTTAAGGAAAAGACTCAAGAATATCTAAAAAAGTTAGTTGTCCTGGGGCCAAGAGAGAAGTATAGTAATCCTATAAGCGAAAGTCAGAGGTATATACTTTATCTGGTACAACAGCAACAATTGAGTATTTCCATTGTTTTGCTGCAATCGAAACTGACAATATCTTATTTATTTATACACCGATCAAAAAGTACAAGTTTTATTATTTGCTCATATAATATTTTAATCAGAAAATTTAGTAGTAGGATTTAGAATTCTTAATTTTTTGATAAGTGGATTATATGTCTAAGAATTTTTCTAGGTATGGCTGGTATCAAGTAAGACTGACTTCTGGGGACTGGATCGACAGAAAATTGTTCCACCATAAGCGTATGGACATCATGGTTAAAGAACAAATGATGAGTTATCAAAAAATCATAAACAGATAATATCTACTAGTTCATGTAATGTATAAATATGCATTTATTGTAACAATCTTACAAACACTAATAGAATAGCTGAAGAACAGGGTTAAATCATTGATTAAGATATTTCACCAGTAATCCGTTAACCAATAGTTACAATTATAAATTCTTCTTCTATTCGTCATTCTTTTTCAGAGCGGTCCGTAGGACCTTTGCTCTTGGTTAAAGTCTTGTAAGTCAGTAGGTCTGTCAGGTCTGGTTGCCCAGATAGCAGACAAAGTCAGGGAGAAAGAGGGGAAGAAAAAAGAAAGGAAGGAAGGTGGGACAGCAACGAAGAGTGAAGTGTGTCAATTTGAGGGGTGCCTTGGCATTGCTAACAAGTATTCAGCAATTTTAAATTGATCCTAAAATCAATTTAGAGATTGGGTGTTGAAGAAAAATTATAATTTAATTTAAAGTCGCACGATTTAATTTTGTTCACAGTGTGAGCCGCAGCCTTGTGTGCTTGCGAACTTGCTCGACTGTGTAGTCTACTGAATCGAGCAACAAAGTGTTGCTATGCGATTCCTCTTGACTATAACGTAGCTGCGCTTGTTGGTTTATGTAGTTCCTCAGGGAAGGGATGTCAAGGTCTCTGTGAATGGTCTCGTTGAAAACATACCATGGGGCGTTAGTGATTGTACGCAAGGTTCTGTTCTGCAAAGCCTGCAGACGACGCAAATGCATTTTGACGAGAAAGCACCAAGCCGCACTTGCGTAAGTAATCGCTATTGTAATAACTATCTTGTATAGCCGAACTTTGTTGATCAAACTTAATTTTGAGGTTCTACATAGCATAGGGTAGAGTTGCCGAAACGAGATTTGGAATTTAGTTTTTAACGCTTCGGTGTGCTTCTACCAGGTCATCCCCTTTGTCAAGAGTGACACCGAGATTTTTTAGCAGAACATTCCCATGGTGAATTATAAATAGTGGTTGTATCAATTCTTCCCATGGAATATCGAACTTTGACTTCTCCCATCCCTATTTTTTCTCGATCAGCTGATGCGGGTAACCTAACCATACTTTTTAAAAAGTTGAAATGTTTTGTAAACAAATATATTGAACAGTGATTCCTAAAATAATTTCAAATATGTTGAAGAACACACTATCGTTTATCCGTTCTAGCTACTCCTCAACTGCGTTTTCGGTGAAAGAAAAACTAAAAGCAAAGGCATGGCAGTTACATGAATATGGAGATACAAGTAACCTGAGGTTGGACTATTCGAGATTGCCAGTTATAAGAAAGCCAAATGAGGTTTTGGTTCAAGTAGAAGCAGCTTCAGTAAACCCTATAGATTTATATATGTTAGGTTTGTACTCATTTATTGATTAAATATTGTTTAAAAATATTTCTCCTCAAAAGCCATCAAAATCAGTTCATCATACATCTTACCATTATATTTTTTTATGACATAGATTTAACACAATGTTTTGCTATTTTAGGAGGATATGGCCAAACATTATTTCAAATTCCAAGAAATTTTGAACTAGAATTTCCTTTAATATTAGGTAGGGACTTTGCTGGAACTGTTATATCAACTGGACATGGTGTGTCTAAAATCAAAGTTGGGGACCCAGTATATGGTTTTGTGCCTTTACATAAACCAGGTTCTTTTGCAGAGGTTGTATTAAGTGATGCTTGTCATGTAAGTGAAAAACAGAAAATTTATAAAATATAAAAATGTCTGAGGATAAATAAACATCCCTATAAAGGCGACTACTGACTCATGTGAGTTTAAACTTAAAAGACATGCTTCAGTTCATGAGTATAGTATATGAGTAGCGCAAATTATACAGGGTTATCCAAATTAAGTGTCCACCATTAGTAACTTTGTTATTAGTGAAAATACAAAGTTGTTTGAATTAGCAAACTAGTAGCATTCTTAACGCTGGTAAAAATGAGAAATAAAAAAAAACAATTGAGAGTCGTTATTTTGTAAAAGTAAAGTAAAATAACATTTTTTTAAATGGAAACCCCTGTATATTATATTTTTTTCTGTTAAAGCATCAAATTTTAAACAAAAAAGCTTACAATAACTTTTCTCCTAGGTTACAAATTGTTGAAGTTATGGCCTCCAATCTGAAACAATTAAATTGTATCGACAAACTTTATTTTCAACATCAACTTATAATCTTACAAAATACAATAACAATTTTTTTTAAAGAAGATGCTCGAAAACACCACCTTGTTCTTCAATACATTTTTGGGCACGTTTTTCAACTGCTCGAACTGTCTTAACTATGGTCCTACCATCTATCTGGGTTATTTTTTCCCTAACTGCAGTCTTTAACGCGTCAAGGTTATCGTACCTTCGCTTGTAAATTTGGTTCTTTAAGTAACCCCACAAGAAGTAATCAAGTGGGTTTAGATCTGGTGATCTGGGAGGCCACTGTATTGGGCCATTTGTTCCTATCCACTGATCATTAAAAGTAGTACTTAGAAAATGATAAGTACCTCTGGAGTTGTGGGCAGGTGCGCCATCTTGCTGAAAATGCAGATGATGTCTACTTATAAGATCCAATTCGTCTAAGAAATTAGTCAGAATTTCTGACATAAATTCCACATATCTTTCACCAGTTAGGGTTCCCTCATAAAAGAACGGGCCAACAATTTTTGAACCAATTATACCGCACCAAACGTTGAAACTGAAACGGACTTGTGGGCCTCTTGGATGTACTAACAAAAGATTTTCTCTTGACCAATAATGGTGGTTTTTTCTATTAAACATTCCAGAATTTGTAAAATTTGATTCATCTGCCCATAAAACGTAACGAAAGTTATTTACATTTTGGCGACAGAAGCTAAGATACCAATGGCAAAAAACAAGTCTTCTCTCTGGATCCCCTGCCAAAAGCGTTTGAACTGGTCGGTACTTATACGGAATAAATTTGTATTTTTTTAAAATCCTTTGAACAGTACCATAACTGAAATTAGAGTCCTTGAGAATATCTGCTATTGAATTCTCACGATAAGCTTCAAAATATCCAATAACTGCAATTTCCGTGGCCTCGCTTATTATGAATTCTTTTTTTGCCCTTGTTTTAGCAAAAACATTTTCGTTGCCCCTAAATTTTCGATAAAGTCTCAGAAAATATCGTTCATACGGTTGAATGCGAGCGGGATATAATTCACTGTAGTATTCTCTTGCTCTCAAGGAGGATTTTCTGCACACTAAATAGCATTCTAACATATCACACTTTTCTTCATGGGAGAACATTTTTCTTTAAATTAATGACACAATAAAGCTTATAAACAAGTATTTACACTAATGTTTGACATTATTTGATTTTATCATTGTTTTCCAAAGCCTTCTAGTTGCGAGTATGTCCAGTTTAACAATTTGTCGCTTATCTTAATGCTGTCAAATCGCGAACGCCATGTTGTTTTCATAGCCGTCTTAATATTATAATACTGCAAATAATTAAAAATATTTATCGTTATTTTGACTTTATTTTTGACTTTAGCGGAAAAGTCATTATGAACTTTTTTGTTTAAAATTTGATGCTTTAACAGAAAAAAATATAATATACAGGGGTTTCCATTTAAAAAAATGTTATTTTACTGAAAAAAATCAAAATAACGACTCTCAATTGTTTTTTTTTATGTCTCATTTTTACCAGCGTTAAAAATGCTACTAGTTTGCTAATTCAAACAACTATGTATTTTCACTAATAACAAAGTTACTAATGGTGGACACTTAATTTGGATAACCCTGTATAATACACCATCTTAGGACTCCATTGTCTGGCTGAATCAAACCATAAGTTGTTTCAAATTTGACCCTCACCATTGGGATCGCAGAAACAGTAAGAGTTATGCAGTTGCTTAAATGGGGGTAAATTTGCATATTTAGGTAGCTAACAAAATGCTCCTCAGAGAGTGTGGAAATAAAAGTGTTTCCAGGGAGAGGGAAAAAACAGAATTTTTCCAAAATTGTTTTAATTTTTGCCCGACTTAATTTGTAGTCAGATTTTATAGTCTAATCCAAGCCTCTCCAACTCAGGTGCCACCAGAGCACCGCTCGCAGCACAGTGCTGCGGTGCGACTCCGTGAAGGTGTTGTGGTAGCCGTGAAAGAAGAATGTCACCATCTTGGCAGAATCCAATGAAGCCTACATAGGTTTGTAGAAAACTCTAGGCTAATTTGGAAAAACTTGTTAAGTCAAACTTATTTCCACCAGAAGTTCCTGTCGTACCAACTGAAAGCTAGAGCAGGCAATGCAAATAGGTATAGATAAAAATAATACCCCTGTTTATATGCTTTATGCTTGCATTCAAAAGCTCATTTGAGTTTGTCAGTTTGACACCAGGCTACTAGATGTTTGAAAGTATATGTAAAATGAATATGAAAGGTCATGACCGTTATTATATGTATAGGTTGTAGTAGAATCCTACTGTCATGTTGTATCCTCAAATAGTTATGACAGGTACTTTCAGGAGGATGCACCCCAAGCATGCCAAGCGCTTTTTGTTCATTTATTTAAAAACTACATAATGTTATTGAGTTTAATCGAATCCGCGATATGGTTAGATTTAATGTCGCCGGCTCCCAACCCCAAAGGAAAACGAGCGGAGTGACATTCGTGTTGACAGTTGAACTGGTGTGATCCAGTCAGCGCGCGGGTGATACAATGATGGTCATAATTTCGAAGTAAACACATTTATTCTCTTACAACAGACGGACACAATATTCCTGCACACTCCACTAAGCATTCTTTGACAAGTGCACCGTCAGTAAACGGTCACCCACTTTTTGCGATTTACAAAGCAACAATATAACTTGAATTACGACACCATTAATAACAATCAACTACGACCAATTTAATAATTACCTCTTCAGAACTTAGAAGGGCTGGCTGCAATACCGTGTGACAAATTAATCATTTTGCTTTTCCATCAGTATTTACAAAAAATAGGCTTCTTCCATGCAGGATTAAATTACATCGTTTAAAAAAAGATGCACGTTAAGACGCTAAAAAACCTGTCCACTTTGTCTTGTCCTATTAAGAAATTTCCCGCGCCCGAGAGACAGTCGGCTAATATGTTTTTCTCTGTCGCGACGGCTGTGCGGTCGAGGTGGAGGGGGAACGTACCGGTGCCGCTGAGTTCAGCCCCGGAGCGCACCAGCACCAAGTGCTCGAGTTGGAGAGGCCTGGTCTAATCATACTAGCAAATTCCCCGAAATAATTGTAAAATCTGGTTTTATTGGTGCAAGTTGTTCAAGGGGGTATTTAAAACATGGACTCATAAAATGGCACACCAATTTTTGTGGGAAAACTTTTTATTTGACAACAAAGAATGAGAAAACGTGTTTTTTGGGATTGAATCGAAAGTGTTGACAGGAACGAAAAAACGTTTTATATAAGATTTTTAGGTATTTATGAGACCTGCAAAATGAGACCACACGTAAAATGATCAGACTAATAGCAAAAATGTTATGGCCGAAAAACGATGCAAAATGCAGATTTAGGCACTTGTTGGTAATACGACTATAATTTCACGCAACTACTTGAAAATCTTCAAATCCGTAGGACTCATACTCCTAAATAACAACAACAAAATTGGAGTATATTGGAGAAGTAGTTTATCCCAAAACACCTGTTTTCTGGACATCACTACTAGTTTATTGAGCAATATACAGGGTTCGTTCAAAGAGCATTTAATAGCAAAATACAGGTGTTTACCTTGCCGATATGAATCACAAACCATTCCGAACGATAAATGTAATTTTTATGTGAAAAACAAAGCTTACGTTTTTTCTTCTCAACAAATTCAAACATTTCGTATTTGTGAGTAATTGAACAAATGCGCTACGATATTCGAAAAACATACGTTACCATAAACATTTTAAAACAAAGCGGATGAGTCTATCATCTTTTGTTGCGAACTACTCACAAATACAAAATGTTTGAATTTGTTTAGAAGAAAAAACGTATCTCATCCTTTTTTGCATAAAAACAACATTAACTTTCCGGAATGGTCTGCGATTCATATCGACAAGGTAAACTGATGTATTTTGCTATAAAGTGTCCTTTGAACTAACCCTGTATATTGCTCAATAAACTAGTAGTGATGGCTGGAAAACAGGTTGTTTGGGATACACAATTAGAAATTCTCAACAACAACTTGACCAATCTTGTTGTGATTATTTAGAAGTACAAATTATACGAATTTGAAGAATTTCAAATATCTGCGAGAAACAATCGTTGCATTACCAACAAGTGCCAAAACCAGCAGTTTGCCTCGGTTTCCGGCCATAACTTTTTACGTCTGTTCTCATTTTATAGGTCTCATAAGTACCTAAAAATCTTACATGAAGAGTCTTTTCGTTCCTGCCAACACTTTCGGTTGAGTTCCAAAAAATAGGTTTTCTCATTCTTTGTTGTCAAATAAAAAGTTTTTAACATCTTGTAGCAATAAAACCAAACTTTACAATTAATAATTTAGACTATTAAAATAAATTTCACATTTATGTTTCATCTATTGCATCAACTTTATTCCTATGGTTGGTACTCGTATATTGGATTTTTGCACAGGTGAATAGTTTTTAATTCTGATTCCGATCCAAAAAATGTATTATATGATGCCAAACCTTAGAGATTGCAAAAAACGGAATTTCCTTGGTTGGCCTAGAAATTATCATTTGTTTCCTATACCAAGTTTATGGCAAAATAGTTTTTTATTTTTCCTGAATTTACTTGACTTCAAGGTAAATTATAAATATGTTGTCAGTGTCACTTTTTCTCCTACAAAAGATAGCTTAGTTAAATTTTCAATTCAAGGTTCCTTATTTCGATTTCATCACCAACTTTTGTTTTTTCATATATGGATGCTATATTGGAATTCTGTACATTTAAATGGAGTTTTTAGTCCTAATTTCAGTATATACTTGTTGTAGGAACGAAAGTTATAAGAACATAATGAGGTATGGTGAAATCTGAACACTTAATGAACATTTTATTAATGATAACAATTATAATCATAAATAAAGAGAGGTAAATTATAGTAGATGTTTAAAATCTTGTCTCTTATTTTGTAGGCCATGCCTGACTCAGCTCTGTACATTGTGCACTGCTCAATTTATTTCCCTTCCTCTCAGACTTCGAAACTCTGTTATTATGTTCAATTTGACGTCTGGTCTGGAAAAAAATGACTCTGATAATTTCAACGCCTACCTAGGAAATTCTGTTTTCCTAAAATAACCAATGTCAATGTATGGCATATACATTTTTGGAATCAAAATTTTAAATAGTATTTACCCGTGCAAAAATCGAATATGGTATGTATAAGAAAAAATAAACTGTGACAAATTCTCATAGATGACGCTACAGTCTTATTTTTTCCCGGATGCAGGAGCGTGAAGATTGCGGGTGTGGAAGCGGTTCTGCCTCTATGCGGTTGCTGCGTATATGCGGTTTCCGACTATATGCGGTTGCTGCGTAGACACGTGGTCTGACTGTATGCGGTTGCGGCGTATATGCGTCGTCTCATTCTATGAGCTAGTATCTCTCTTCTTTTATTGTCCTAGCAGCGCACGCGCGCGGTGTAGGCAAGCGACAACTCATACTCGCCTTAAAATAAAGCCAACCCAAATATCTCTAACAGTATTTATAAGAAAAAAATAAGCTGTGACAAATTCTCATAGATGACACTGCAGTCTCTTTTTTTCTTGGATAATTTTCTTGGACGCGCAGGAGCATAACATTAGGTTGGCTATCCTCAGGTAGAAAAAAGATTAATCAATGATATGCTATGGCTTAAGCTCAAGTGATAACAATCTCCACCTGCACATATTTCTAGCTTCAATCAAGACCTAAACACTTGAGCCCTGTACAAGGTGCAAGTTTAGTTTATTCTTCAATGACTGCCTGGAGTGCATTATTCTTGTTTGGGAATCTCTTGTTGAAGCAAAAAGAAGGTATTAGAGTGTTAATTCTTGGTGCTTCAGGAGGAGTAGGCACAGCAGCTGTACAACTGTTGAAGTCCCAGAACTGTGTGGTAAGTACTTAGTAGTGATTTTCTGAAATGTATTTCTGTTACGCGTAAGAGATAACATTTTGTGAAAGTGTCCCTGCCATTTCACCTTGTGCAAATGTTCAAATTTTAAGATTCAACCAATTCCCTGGATGGACCACAGGTCCCCTGGCATCTTCCCGCGGGCGCTCATGTTTGTAACAAACAATTTGACGCTAGATCCTACGGGAGGTCCTAAGCGACGTTTTGGGCTTCGACGAAATGAAATTTTAACTAATAAATAAAAGCCTCAATACTTTAGATTCTTCAACAAAAAAATATAATTTGATATTCATAATTTAATTATTTTTATATTGAGATAATTCAGATTCAAAATAAATTAAAACCTACTGTTACAGGTGTACTGCACATGTGCAAAAGATGCAGTAGATCTAGTTTACTCGTTAGGGTCAGATTGCGTTTTCAGCTACACTGACCCTGATTATGAAAAAAACGTAGAACTAGAAACTAGGTAAGCAGTGCTCTAAATATTACAAAAAATCACCCCAATCTGAAAATTGAACTTTCAGGTATAACATAATATTGGACTGTGCAAAAATAGGCTATGATAAAATACCTGCAACATGGCAATACGATACCTATATTACATTAAACTCCCCTTTGTTGACAAACACGGACAAACAAGGCCTACTTGCTGGTTTAGCAGTTAGTGCAAGGGACTTCGTGAAATCTAACTTTGACAGCTGTCAGAAAGGAAGTCAAGTTAAATGGGGATTTTTCGTCCCTTCTGCAGATGGATTCAAGTTTGTACATGACCTGATATCCAAAGAAAAGGTTTATTTTCAACGATTTGTAAAAATAGAGTTTTAAAGGCCTTATTCATTTTTCAGATACAACCTGTCATTCAGAAGACATTCAATTTTGAACAACTGCCAGATGCCATCAAGGCTGTTAGTGAAGGTCACCTTCGTGGCAAAATAGCTGTCGATTTTAATAAATAGGATTTATCAAATTCGTGAAATAAATTCTCAACGTAAGGTCGCGGACCACTGAGAAGACGATGTGATTTGTGGCCAGCATTGCAACTATACCCTCAGGACAAAGTTTCTCAATCAAAGGCTCATGCATCATGGGCATCTGTTAAATGTTTCATGATGCTTGATTTGTAAATCAGTTTAGCTCATTCCCTTGTATTATTTATTTCAAACTAGCTTTGTACATTTACCTATCTTTAAGAAATATTCAAAGAACAGTGTATTCCATGTTTCAAAGACATATAAAATTGAAATGTCGATGACATTTTTTTCTAATATTCTTATTACATAACTTCTAGACAACTCAGTCTTGGCAATAATTCCTGGAAAGAAAAAATTATTTAGGGCAAGTTATGCAGGGTGCCTAAAAAAGCATACATCTACACCATTTGTAAAATCAATACTTAGTTAGTCTATAACATGTTGCATTTGTTTTGCAAATGAAGTTTAACTATCCAGAGATGAGGCTGTCACATTTGTCAAAATCACTTGTGAAGGTAATCTCATTATTAGAAGTTTTTGTGAAATAATAAGTACAGTTATGCGAGATTATCTGACAATGTGTATAAGACCATTGATTAAAGTATACAGATAGTCAACCTAATGTTATAATTTCGCGCATCTGAAAAATTTTACTAGATAAAATGGGCTATCTTTGAGAATTTGTCACATCAGTTTCTCTTTTCACCAAAAATATGTTAGAGTATTCGAGTGGACTGTATACCGGCTGGTTCAAGAATTAAATGTGGTTGTGGCCTACCTATCCGGTATTCCGTCTTATTCTGGTTCGTATTCCTGGCGTAGCGGTGATGCAGGAGCGTGAAGATTTCGGGTGTGGAAGCGGTTCTGCCTCTATGCGGTTGCTGTGTATATGCGGTTTCTGACTATATGCGGTAGTTGCGTAGACACGTGGTCTGACTGTATGCGGTTGCGGCGTATATGCGTCGTCTCACTCTATGAGCTAGTATCTTTCTTCTTTTATTGTCCTAGCAGCGCACGCGCGCGGGGTAGGCAAGCGACAACTCATACTCGCCTTAAAATAAAGCCAACCCAAGTATCTCTAACAGTATGTATAAGAAAAAATAGGCTGTGACAAATTCTCATAGATGACGCTGCAGTCTCTTTTTTTCTCGGATAATTTTCTTGGACACAGGAGCATAACATTAGGTTGGCTATCCTCAAGTAGAAAAGATTAATCAATGATAGGCTATGACTTAAGCTCAAGTGATAACAATCTCCACATGCACATACTATATTTCTAGCTTCAATCAAGACCTAAACACTTGAGCCCTGTACAAGGTGCAAGTTTAGTTTATTCTTCAATGACTGCCTGGAGTGCATTATTTTTGTTTGGGTATATCTTATTGAAGCAAACAGAAGGTATTACAGTGTTAATTCTTGGTGCTTCAGCAGGAGTAGGCACAGCAGCTGTACAACTGTTGAAGTCCCAGAACTGTGTGGTAAGTACTTAGTAGTTATTTTCTGAAATGTATTTCTGTTACGCGTAAGAGATAACCTTTTGTGGAAGTGTCCTGCCCTTTTGTGCAAATGTGCACATTTTAAAATCCAACCAATTCCCTGGATGGACCACAGGTCCCCTGGCATCTCCCCGCGGACGCTCATGTTTTGTAACAATTTGACGCTAGATCCTACGGGAGGTCCTAAGCGACCTTTTGGGCTGCGACGAAATGAAATTTTAACTAACACATAAATAAAAACCTCAATACCTTAGATTCATCAACAAAAAAAGTATAATTTGATATTCATAATTTGATTATTTTTATGTATAATTCAGATTCAAAATACATAAATTAAAACCTACTGTTACAGGTGTACTGCACATGTGCAAAATATGCAGTAGATCTAGTTTACTCGTTGGGTTCAGATTGCATTTTCAGCTACACTGACCCTGATTATGAAAAAAACGTAGAACTAGAAACTAGGTAAGCAGTGTTCTAAAGATTACAAAATAGCACCCCAATCTGAAAACTGAACCTTCAGGTATAACGTAATATTGGACTGTGCAAAAATAGGCTATGATAAAATACCTGCAACAATGCAATACGATACATATATTACATTAAACTCCCCTTTGTTGACAAACACGGACAAACAAGGCCTACTTGCTGGTTTAGCAGTTAGTGCAAGGGACTTTGTGAAATCTAAAATTGACAGCTGTCAGAAAGGCAGTCAAGTTAAGTGGAGATTTTTCGTCCCTTCTGCAGATGGATTCAAGTTTGTACATGACTTGATATCAAAAAAAAGGTTCATTTTCAACTAGATTTGTAAATATAGAGTTTTAAAGGCTTTATTCAGTTTTCAGATAAAACCTGTCATTCAGAAGACATTCAATTTTGAACAACTGCCAGATACCATCAAGGCTCTTAGTGAAGGTCACCTTCATGGCAAAATAGCTGTTGATTTTAATAAATAGGATTTATCAAATTCGTGAAATTAATTCTCAACGTAAGGTCGCGGAACACTGAGAAGACATGTGATTTGTGGCCAGCATTGCAACTATACCCTCAGGACAAAGTTTCTCAATCAAAGGCTCATACATCGTGGGCATCTATTAAATGTTTCATGATGCTTGATTTGTAAATTAGTTTAGCTCATTCCCTTGTATTATTTATTTCAAACTAGCTTTGGCACATTTACCTATCTTTAACAAATATTCATAGAATAGTGTGTTCCAAGACATATAAAACTGAAATGTCAATGACATTTTTTTCTAATATTCTTATAAATAACTTCTAGGCAACTCAGTCTTGGCAATAATTCCTGGAAAGAAAAAATATTTTAGAACAAGTTATGCAGGGTGCCTAAAAAGCATACGTCTACACCATTTGTAAAATCAATATTTAGTTAGTCTAAAACATGTTGCATTTGTTTTACAAATGAAGTGTGACTTTCCATATTTGATGTCAGAGTCACTTGTGAAGGTAGTCTTATTATTCTAAGTTTTTCTGAACTCGTAATAATAAAGTTATGCCAGATTATCTGACAATGTGTATAAGACCATTGATTAAAATATAAAGATAGTCAACCTAATGTTATAATTTCGGGCATCTGAAAAATTTTACGAGATAAAATAGGGTATCTATGAGAATTTGTCACATCAGTTTCTCTATTCACAATATATGTGTACTTTGAAATGGTTAGTATCTCATAGATTGCTTTGTCTTTATGGCAGATACAATCATTAAGGTGACTACAGTGCCATCTATAAGACTCTAACCTGTTCAAAGTTTATATAGTAAATAGAGAACCAGCTCTGAGAAATTCTCATAATTCTCATTTAATGTTGGATAATTTTTTGTATGCATGATTAGAGCCTTAGGTTGGCTATCTTCAGGTAGGATACATTGAGCAAAATTAAGATGAACACAACTACTGAGTGACAATAAAAAAGAAAGAACTGCCTTTCAGTTACCTAACACGAATTTTCAAAATTGTGAGTTGTATGTATTATCCATGTTTTTTATCTAGTAAAAAGAATCATATACTTACATGGAATAGAGGCAGGATACGCTCTTCTTTGGTAACTATGTCAACTAGCAGTAGATTTAAAGTATAAATGATCTTACTCTGAAATAGAATAGACTGATATTAAGGAAGTACTCAAAAGATACGGGTTGTCATATTTAAATTACCTATAAATTTCTCTAATAATTATATTTAGTATAACTTCAAGGTTATGAATGGCAAAAATCCTTACCCGAAATATGACTTCATTGATGAATATATGTTGAATGCTCTCATTTGGAATGAATTTGCTAGATTTATTTAACAAGTACTTAGTTTTCAACTGCATCCCCAAATCATGGACCATCACAAGACTTTCTAAAACAAATGTAATATTATTTTTTACCCAACTGTCTTAGGAGGATATTTTTTTCACACATGGGTATGTATGTATGAGTAAGTATTCAAAAAATTCTATATCACTAGCTACAGTCCAAATGGCTTCATGGATTCTGACATATAAGGTATATAGAATCAAACCCGCTAACTCCACTTTTTTCCAAATATATTGAGTGGCAAAAAAATGTAAACACCTATATACCTATGTATGTTTATTAGAATTCAAGAATTTTTTACATATCAATTTGTCTTGCCATGAACAACAAATGATAAAATGGTCAGGTTTTTCTGTTAAGTTTTTGTGGTGGCTGCGTGTATTATTTGGTAATAGAGAAGGATTCAGTTTTCGTACATTTACGGCGTCAGATAAATGTTAAATTTCATGTAGCTTATTGAGAAGCCTTTTTGTGATTGCTCAAAATTCCTAGAGTGCGTAGAATTCGCTGTCCCAGCTAAGTGCCTTTGAGAGGGTTCTGGACGTCGCAAAAGGACCACAGCGACAAGACCACCAGTTAAGACTTCTGGCTCTGAGAGACAGATTCAGTAGTAGTTGAGCCATCGTTGATCAGTGGTTTGAAGAACATGGAATGTGTAAGGTATATCGCCGAATACGACAGTTTGGCACATTGGGTGCTACCTCTCACAGCTGAACATCGACGAAACCGAAAGTATTCTATGGGACCGAGAATGGAATCAGGTGGTCGGGCAAGAGTGATAAGGCGACGTGGTGAAAGGTGTTACCGAAAATTTGGGAGAAAGCATCACGTTCACCACACTGTGGGAGTTATGCTTTGGGGTGCTATTGCTTATGGTAGCAGATCACCACTAATTTTCACAGAGGCAATATGACAGCCCGACGCTATATTCAGGAAGTAGTGGAGCCTCATATTATTCCTTATGTAAACACCATCCAAATCCCGATTTTTCAGCAAGACAATGCCAGACCGCATGGTGCCAGAGCGTTAGCTTTCAACCGTTTACCTCGGCCACCATGATCGCCTGACCCATCTCGAATTGAACATGTCTGGGTCATGATAGGTTGCAGGCTCTTGAATTTGTAACACCCTCCACAGACTTTAGCAGCTCTTACTCACGAAGTTGCAGTAGCCTGGAATGACATACCCCAACAGGATATCGACCACCTTATCGGCATGACGCCCAGGCGTGTCAATGAGTATATAAGAAATTGTGGATACTCAACACATTATTGAACCAGCTTCGGCAGTCAGTTGATGAATCAAGTTGAAAATTTAATAATTTTACTAGTAAGGGACAGTGTACGTAGGTATATCACAAAAATTATTAAATCGGATAAACATACGTAGGTGCTTACCTTTTTTTGTCACTCAGTATATGATATTTTCTGCCGACTCTATAGGAAGTGTTCCAAGGAATCAACCTGTATAAATATTATCCTTCTAAACCCGCTAAAACAAGCCTATAATTAAGCCAAAAGGTAATGTTTAGTGACAAAACTCACTACCTTCATGCCAATATTACCATCAAAGCCTGCCAAATCCATTTTGACTAATGATGATGCACTATTCGATACGGGCACGGGTTTATGCGTGTCAGTTTCTCTTTAGATATTTAACGCGCGTAGGATCATAATTACCGCTTTTGATGGTTTTTATAAGTGTTTAAAGAAAACATGGATGAATACAATAAAGCCGTACATTGTTCAAGATAAACATAATTAAGCTAGAGCACTCTGTTCACTAAGAATTTGCTTCATTTCAAATGTTTTCATTAGATTTATAAAATATAGTGTTTGTTGTTTAAAATAAACAATAAATTTCAACAACCATTGTTTTTGTTTATATCAGTTCAGAAAGTGATTAAACAAGGTCTATTATTTTCGTATTTTGAAAACCAAGTAACAACAAAACCTGCTATATCCAATATTTCACAATCAAAAGCTGCTAACTCAAAACAAAAACCAGTGTATTTAGCAAAAAAACTTGGGGTAATGGATTTTTTAGCCAGACTGAATACTATTTTGTTAGAAGACGTAAATAAGACATATCTGGTAGTGAAATTTTACATTTTGGAGTGGAGTGTCGTTTGATTCTAATACCCCTCATATGAGGTGTTGGATTTGTCTTAGCAGTGAAAACTGAGCTTTGTGTTCCTGAAGGGTCAAAATGTTGAGACAAGTTGCAGGTACCTTCTCTTACAATACAGAGCAGCTTGAAAAACATATACAGCGCACCAAAAAACACAACAATAATTAGCTTTTTACAGATTATGTCGTAAACAAGACAGGATAGGTTTAGCGCTGCTATTGCAAGTAACAAAATGCTTTTCCTAAACCATATATCGTATAGGGTGTTGGTTAGTCGTATCCTCACAGCACCATCCCTGTTTTCTAAGTACAGTTGAAGTTTATTTCCATATACATTTTCGAATGTTGTGAATTTTTCTTTTCTTTTGTGTCTAACCATATTACGGACATTTTGATTGGCTTTTTATTGCCTTCGTCGGACACAATTTGTTTTCATATGGTAATTACTGATCTCTCCATTGTATCATAAGTGAAATACAAGGAGAAAATTACACAAAATTCACTGAAAACACCCTCAAAAACAAACATTCCTTCTTCTTCTTCTTAGCACAAAACACTCGGAAAGAACGCAAACTCAAAGAAATTGACTGGAAACACGTCGCCGCCATATTGCATTTGATATCCGTCACGTCAGATGCCATTTCAACTGTTATCAAAAACCGCGGTTAAAACCAACGCGTTCAAGCGATTCGAGTAACTGACGTCATCAACCCGTGTGTCATCTTGAACCATACAAAAATCAAATCCAAGCGAATAACCAAAATTTCTGTGTTATATGCCGCGGTTATAATATGGTTCAAGATGACACACGGGTTGATGACGTCAGTTACACGAATCGCTTGAACGCGTTGGTTTTAACCGCGGTTTTGTTGCAAGGTGTTTATTTTAGAAAAGCGCGTATATAATCTCTGATTATTTTTATTATCATTTAATAAGCGGTGCTTTTTCGTCTACAACTGTATATGGAAAGTTTAAATAAGAAACCTTTCATAATATTCATGGGAGAAATGTTTTTTCAGATTTTTTTTTAATGATGGAACCATGGCTTTGTGCCTATGATAACTTTCAATTCTCTAAATTTTTCCGCTTGTCAAAGAAAACATTTATTGATTCAGCAGAAATGATGAAAAAAGAAACCGTATACAGGTGGATATCATCTAGTGAGCTTATATGGCCATATTTTAATATTCTTGTGGTATATGGCTACACAGGATACTTTGTTAAGCATAGGAACTACATTTAAAGTGTCCCCAACAACCGTAATGAGTATAACTAATAAGGTGCTCCACTTTATGGTAAAACTGAAGTCAGCCTGTATCATTTTTCTCAAAAATGAAGCTGAAGTACAATAACAATATCCAATACCCGCCAAAATTCTAACTTGTCACATTTCAAATAATAACCAGAAATATAAAACTACTCTTGAGTTGGGTAAATACCACAATTTTGCGGTGATAACTATGACATATAACAGCTGATTCGTGACGTCACGGATCTTATAACCAAACTGATAACTACACTCGCTTGAACGGATTGGTAAATACCAACCCAAAATGGTAAATACCAGTTCTATTTGGTTATCCGCTTGAATTTGATTTATAACCACGATACATAATAAGTGTTGTTTAACGATTTCAAGAAAAATTTTGCTACGGATAGTCATCTAGAGTCTAGAGTATATTTCTATAGTTGTCTTGTGTGGCCATGTTATCTTCACTAAAAACCAACAAATATATCGTTATGGACACAATAGTCGAGGAATTTGGTAAGCGTATTATATGTGGTTTATATGTTGGATATGAAGAATGGCCTTGCAAAGATTGTTTACTGCCGCCTAATTAAAAAAATGTATCATATATATTACTCTTATTGTTCGCACCTATATCTTGCATCATAATCAATGTACAAGCAATATCAACATATGGAGAAAACCTTATGCTCAACTTTTTGAAAATGATAATTATTTTTACATTATTCATTGTTTTTTAATACTAGTATCTATCACAAAAGATATTTTATTTTTTGACTGCATCCCTTTAGACTTTTCATACTAACTTTTACAGGCCCTGAGCAACATCTGACAGTCTCTGATCGTATTGAGAATTATAAAATACAGCTATCAGAATTAGAAAGCTTGCAATCAACATTCTGTCTCCCTGGAGAGATACAAGTTGATCATCCCATTACTGTCAATGATATGGATAAATATATTAATGGAGAAACAGGTAAGAATATTTAGAAAAAAATATACCATAAATAGTTTTTGTTTTGGAACTTTCCACTTTAGATGTGATTCCATCTATGCTACATTATGTTGTGAACATAAAAGTAGACGATCAGAAATTTGAGATATGCATTACCTTAGCAGATAGGTATCCAGCAAAGATGCCTGAAATATATGTGAGAAATCACAATCTTGACAGACAGATGCACATACAATTGAATAAGGACTGGTACCAATATGTTAGCAATTTAGAAAGAGTAAGTCACAGGTAGAGGTAAGGTGAATGTGCCAATAAACCCAGACACTACCAGTAGTTGAACAAATCTTATATTTTTGGTAAAAATTTGAATATTTGAAATCCTATACTTGCTGGTAATTTGTACCAAATTTATCAACAAATTTGTGACAGTTTACTAAAATTTCATGTCCACAGTTGTCATATTAATGCATCAAAAACAGCATGCATTCGATTCCCCAATTTTTGTCATGTGTGTAGTGAGTGACAAACTTTAAATACATACAGAATTGTCAGCTGGCAATATATACTGTTCTTGTTACATATGCAGAAGAATTTACGAGATGTATTAATCCCTATATGTTATTTAAACATTTTGAGGTCAAACTGTGGTAGCTGCTGACTGGATCATCGTACTCATCAAAATCCAGTAGTCGGACACTTGTCTGTGGTGTGGTCATTATCAATCTATCTTTTTCTTTTTAAACTTAGAAACCATAAAACTTTTCTCTTGGAATTAAACAAACCAAAGTATGACTAAAGCCCCAGCCAGTGGACACACAGCAAAAGATAACAAATAATGTAGATTATGGCCAATGATATTGTGTCCGACTACTCGAATGAACGAATTTTAATAGCATCTCAATAACCAGCCATTTCCATTTTCCCGCCGTTTTTTCACGAGACTGTGATATAAAATTTCACATTTCCACTTCATTTGAGAATGGCTACAAATAAAAAAATAAATTCTGTGTATATGGTGAAAAGGCAGGCTAAATGCGACAGTCGAAGCTATGAGAGATGTTATGAAATTACTTGAAATATGTAAACAGTATTGTAGTTCAAAGTCGACAGTGCAGGGCCAGATTAAAGGAAAAAATTAGTTTCTTGTTCATTTTTGCTTGGTTTGTATGTATTTGTGATAATTAAACGCACTCAATATGGGAATGTTTAATTTCTTTTCCTCAAGACTTAATGACAGCTGATTTGAAATTTGTATTCTACTATCACAAATTTGTTAAAATGATTCTGTCTAAAACTGGCTAATCAAATATAAAATTACAGTAATATCTATAAGCAATGTATTTATTGTCAGCGAAAAGTTAACAGTATATAATATGATCACATCCAAAAGCATTAGATGTGTTATCTTGAACACAAAATTCGTAATTGCACTTTGTATTTGACTTTTACTATCCGTCCACTGACACATTCACCACTTTTGTAAAAGATATATATTATATACAGGGTGACTTCGAAGTTGAGTCATTTATTTTAACAGTGAGTAGATCTGATCAAAAGATATAATATACAGGGTGGCCAAACACGTGACGTCATAAAAAAAAAATAGATTCCCCACATCGAGAGGAACCCAAATCACCCCCATATATATGGTCCGATTTTGTTTAGTTTAGGAGTTATGATTTTTTTTCGGATTTTTCGAGAATTTTTGAGTTCTGTGTTTATTTTTACCATAACTTCGTTAATAATTGTGATAAATGCCTGCTTTTTTCCCGATTATGTAGCTAAGACCTAAGGCTTAACTATCATATAATCATTCAAGTCATGTAACTAATACTACTTTTTAATTTTTTTCAAAATCTTCGAACATAACAAAAAAGTAAAAAAGTGCAACAACTTTGAACGTTTATAAAAAATTGAAAAAACATGTTCTTACTATTCGTAAGTATCTTAAAAACTTCCTTACGGTATCAGCTATTTACCGTAAAAATTTCATCAACCTAGCTTTACTACATGCTACCGTAATTGTGGCTCAAATAGAACCGAACCCAAAATTGGATAACCCTCTGCTCAATAGAAATTGTTAGTTTCGGAAAAAAAATTTGCAAAAACCACAAAAACACGTTTGATTTTTACTGAACAGCAGATTATTATTCATTTATGTTATTTACAAGAGGTTTTCAAAATGTCTGCCTCTAACAGAAATGCACAGTGTACACCTACGTATGAAATTTTGTTTTAAATCTCTAAATGCTCGTGTGTTGTTTTTCAACACATGTGTCGCTTCTTGAATTTTGTTCCTCAATGAATTTTCATTTGCACATTCTTGGGCGAATGTTATGTCTTTAAAATATCCCCAAACAAAAAAATCAATGGGGTTGAGGTCAGGGGAGCGTGGAGGCCATCGTATCGGCCCGTTTCGTCCGATCCATCTGTCTGGGAACCTTTCGTTTAAGTAGTTTCGCACGATCGTTGCGTTGTGGCATGGTGCACCATCATTCTGGAACACCATGTTCCGTCTGGCTTCCAGGCTTGAATCTTCCAGCAATAATGGTAGGCTATTTTCAAGGAAGCTTTTGTAGGCTACCGAATCCAACCTTGACGGCAGTTCAAATGGACCGATAAACGTCATCACCACCGACCAGCCACGTCATCTACGGCACAGGACACGTCAGCCGTTCTGGTATAAATAACCCCGAAAGGCTAAGTCACCTGCAGACGAAATAAGAGGCCATATCAGCCGAATCCTCGTGCTCTAAAAAATTGGATATTCCGGGACTCTGCTTTGCATACTGATTTGGACTTTGTTTGCTAAGAAGTTTGTGATGCATTATACGTTGCGTGAATATGCAGAAATGCATTATTATTATGGCGTTGCTCAAGGCAACGGCGCTTTAGCAGCTCAGCTGTACCGGGAACAACTTATACGCCGAGGCGGACCACAACCTGAGCATTACCCAGACCACCGTGTTTTTATTAACACACATAACACTTTCATGGCAGGCCGCATTCCAGGACGAGGAAGCAATGAAGGATATCCTACAGCTGATCCGGATCGCAGAGAAGTAGTACTTGAAGAAATTAGCCGGAATCCCTCAACGAGTACGAGATCTATGGCACAAAACCTTAGAATACCACGAACATCGATACAAAATATTCTTCATGAAGAAGGTTATCATGCCTATCATGTTCAAAGAGTTCAAGCGTTGATGCCTTCAGATTACCAGTTAAGAGTGGATTTCTGCGAGACAATGCTGCGAAGACAACGAGAGGATCCCGATTTTTTTGATAAAATTTTATGGACTGACGAGTCACGTTTTGAAAGAACAGGGATATTCAATATCCATAATTTACATACTTGGGCTGTTGAAAACCCCCACCAGTCAAGGCCGTCGACATTTCAACACCGTTTTAGTGTGAACATGTGGTCAGGAATATTCAATATGGAATTTATCGGTCCATTTGAACTGCCGTCAAGGTTGGATTCGGTAGCCTACAAAAGCTTCCTTGAAAATAGCCTACCATTATTGCTGGAAGATTCAAGCCTGGAAGCCAGACGGAACATGGTGTTCCAGAATGATGGTGCACCATGCCACAACGCAACGATCGTGCGAAACTACTTAAACGAAAGGTTCCCAGACAGATGGATCGGACGAAACGGACCGATACGATGGCCTCCACGCTACCCTGACCTCAGCCCCATTGATTTTTTTGTTTGGGGATATTTTAAAGACATAACATTCGCCCAAGAATGTGCAAATGAAAATTCATTGAGGAACAAAATTCAAGAAGCGACACATGTGTTGAAAAACAACACACAAGCATTTAGAGATTTAAAACAAAATTTCATACGTAGGTGTACACTGTGCATTTCTGTTAGAGGCAGACATTTTGAAAACCTCTTGTAAATAACATAAATGAATAATAATCTGCTGTTCAGTAAAAATCAAACGTGTTTTTGTGGTTTTTGAAAATTTTTTTTCCGAAACTAACAATTTCTATTGAGCAGAGGGTTATCCAATTTTGGGTTCGGTTCTATTTGAGCCACAATTACGGTAGCATGTAGTAAAGCTAGGTTGATGAAATTTTTACGGTAAATAGCTGATACCGTAAGGAAGTTTTTAAGATACTTACGAATAGTAAGAACATGTTTTTTCAATTTTTTATAAACGTTCAAAGTTGTTGCACTTTTTTACTTTTTTGTTATCTTCGAAGATTTTGAAAAAAATTAAAAAGTAGTATTAGTTACATGACTTGAATGATTATATGATAGTTAAGCCTTAAGTCTTAGCTACATAATCGTGAAAAAAGCAGGCATTTATCACAATTATTAACGAAGTTATGGTAAAAATAAACACAGAACTCAAAAATTCTCGAAAAATCCGAAAAAAAATCATAACTCCTAAACTAAACAAAATCGGACCATATATATGGGGGTGATCTGGGTTCCTCTCGATGTGGGGAATCTAATTTTTTTTTATGACGTCACGTGTTTGGCCACCCTGTATAATATCTCTAAAACTTATTTTGATATAGATATTTCTATTCATTTTTGGTTACTATGATGAGTATAATGTTCTGTTGTGGTGAAGTCATTATTATTTGTATTTATATTCCAATGATCTTTCCCGTATAATGCTGTGATATTATATAATCAGATAAAAAAATAACGCCATTTTACTATTTAAAAAGAATATTAGGCACATGATACTAGCAGAGTGATATAACTAGTTTCACATTTTGATTTTGTAAGTAATTTACTTTATACTCTAAATTTCTGCATAATTTACTTTCCGGGTTAAATTGCAATTGTAGCCAGTGGTTAAATTTCGTCCTAATAAATCCGGTATAATTATTATTATTATTCCCACTTCTAGGATGATCCATGTATATTTTCTGCTATATCCTGGCTTCAAGAAAATGCAAAAAATTATATCAAATTAGAAGAGAAAAAAACAAAACAAAAAGAGATAAAAGAAGAGCACTATGTCAGATATTGGATTTATTCACACCATATTTATAGTAAACCAAAAAGGCAGGAAATCCTCCACTTGGCCAATGAACTAGATATAAGTGGATTTTGCATGCCAGGTAATTCATCATTCAAATGGATTTTGAAAATAGGATCTATTTCCATACCAAGAGCAACCTGATAGCAATTCCACTTCAACCCGATTGCTTTTGCATTCTCACGGAAATCAGCAGCTAAGAAAATGGCAGTCTTGCTTTGAAATTGTGGAAAAAGTTACTTAGGATCTACTTATATACTAGCAGGTGGAACTAATTAATCAGTGATATGCAAGAAATGATCTGACAAAAATAAGACTTTGTGCCCAAACGTTTCTTGATTCTGATCATCACTCACATGGGCACCTTGCAGTGGGGCAGTGGGCTCCCTGAGGACTCAGGTTACCTTAAAATTTGCATACATAGCATGCTTTTGTGTACAATTTTGGGGATTTCCGCCCTCTTCACCCGAAAAAATTTGCTACCCTCCCACACTCTTCAAAAAGGTTTTGGGGCAGGTACACTTTCACAAAATTCTCTCGCCGTTGATCGTCCTCTCTCCGAGGCAAATTCCTGCGGGTGCCCATGATCACTCATACACTACGAATTTCTTATGTCAACTGAAGTTGTCCTGCTGCTCCAACTGAATGAAAGATCACAAAAACACAATTGAGTACTTTTATCATATTATCAATAATTTTTTGAGGATATGATCTTAAGTGAAATGTCATAATGACAAGAGATGATATGTTTTGTCAACTGGTGAACATCACCAAAGTCTAAACCAACAAGCGATACCAGTGCTACCAATGACTGAGCAACTGGTCAGGTTCCTGTCACTGTGATGAGAAGGCTTGTATTTGAATACATATACCGTGTCGTGTTGTCAGTTTCTTTTTGTAAGATTAATCCCTTAGGGAAGACCTTTATTTTAGGCAAACCAGGTATAATCTGTATAGAAGGCTCTTTAGAAAATTGCACGGATTGGTGGCAGACAATAAAATCTATGAACTGGAAACAAATATTTATCAAAGTGATGGAAGAAGACGAGATGAAAAACAGGAGCAGTTTCCGAAAATTCGGAAAGTTGCAAGAGATGGTGTTCCAAAATCATGGGCCTAAGTTCAATCATATGGACATGGGGGGATTTTACAAGTACCTTGAGAAACATGGTTTGGGATATGTGTTCAAGGATTTGTTTGGAGTTCAACCCAAGGCTGAAGGAAATTGAGACATTAAATAAGTTGGAGTTTTTGTAAAATTGTTTTTATTCTGATTTTTATACGTTTTGCTTAATAAATAGGAAAAAGTGAAGTGAATTTGTTAATAAAAACCATATAGGTAATCTAGACAATCTAGAGGATTCTTAGTAAAAAATAATTTAGATGGATAGATACTTATATTTTATACACTTCCACCTATTTTCATGTGACATACAGGGTACTCAAAAAGTATCGATACATCAAAATATCTTGTAAAGTATGTTTCCTAGAAAAACATTAGGACAAAGTCATAAGGTTTGAAAAGAACCATCTAATGGTGACCTTGACTATGATTGTGAAGATAATTTGAAGGACAAGACAGTTTTCTTAGATGGAAACCGATAGTTTTGACACCAAAAATGTAAGTAGAGAAAGCTTTTACATTTAAGTAAGTTCTTGTCCAGGACCTTGATTATGATCAATTTCATCTTGGGGCGTCCAAAAGGTCTGGAGAGAACAAAATATCTTGAACAATAACCTAGCATTTAGAAAGACGAGCAATTACTGGTTTGTATGTAATTTGAAGGTCAAATGATCTCAAAGATCATAGTCAATGTGGCGGTCAAGTACATGATGGTGACTTTGATTGTATCTTCAACAAATAATGAGTCAACTTGAAAACATCTCAGATCTTCAAATGACCTTGACACTCATGGTCAGGTTCATTGACAGGAATAGATATACTTGTCCGCCATTTGCATTTCAGGAACTGAAAATAGATGTTTCTTGTTAAAAATTCAGTTGATCTTCAAATGACCTTGATGGTCAAGGTCATTGAAATATGTTTCTACTCTTACATTTCTGATGTCAAATCTAGGGGTTTTATTTAACCGGTGACGTGGAGTCTCAGAGACTCCTTGAAAATTAATTATTTTTATAATTTCTAAAAGGGACGCCTATGGACAGCGCACCGCCTGGTACCTTCCTAGAAGTAGTAAACAAAAAACACCCTACTTGTGCGGTTAGTTCACGCTTAGCCGTTGTCGAGCGTTATAGTACAGAAGATTTACCCCTACCACTAAAGAAGAGGATCGAGTTTCCCTGGATCAGCGCTTTGCCTCATCCAGTCTTATTTTATTGTATTCAGAGTTAGTTAGTCTGTTGTTAGCGCTCATACTATATACATCAATAGAATTGTATTTTTGATAATCGAGAATAAATCTTTTTAAAAAGAAAGTAGACTGACTCGGTCAGATAATTGGCGCAGCCAGATCGGATTTTCGGGCTGTTTCGCGAATCAATCGAGACCGCGAAAGCAGTTTTCGTATCGACGAATTTACCGGAAAAACGGCCTACGGACTAAAGACTTTGGTGAGTGGGAGTTCGAGCGGAACTCGTCTATCAGCTACCACCTACGAATTCAGGGATTTGGACCACACATCGCCCAAATCTGCAAGCGGCACATTTTGGAGAAGGACCAGATCGCCCAACCAAGATCTTCCCCTTATAGTTAAGCAACCAAGTAAAGACAAAGAAAGAAACGTGATGCACTTGATCATCCTCGTATTAGCGTAAGTGCAATTATACATTTTAAATGTCTTTGGAAGATATTGCAGAGGCTATAGATAATTTGACACTTTCAACAGACTCACCTATTTTAAGACCACCTAGATTAAATATTGAAAATATTCCAAGCATGTCTCAATTCAGACCAGAATTTTTAAATTGCGTCCCAGAGTTTGACGGAAATCCTAATGACTTAAATAGGTTTCTATCAGTGAGTGAAACATTAATTGCAAATTTTTATGATATACGGAACCCACATAATTTCCAAAATATCTATTTGCTAAATTCACTGATCTCGAAATTAAAAGGAAATGCTAAAGTTCTTGTGAATATCCAAAATATCACAAGTTGGGCAGATTTAAAAGACATTCTGACTAGGAATTCTTCTGATCAAAGAGATGAAACTTGTCTAAATCGTGATTTGGTTATGTTGAGGCAAATGTCAAATGAAACGCCTCAAAAATTTTATGATAAGTGTCTTCATATTTTTAATCTGCTATGCAGCCATGTAAACGTACATGAACATTCTGAAGAAGCAAAGGTGTTAAAAAGAAATTTACATCAAGAATTCATAAGACAGTCTTTTTATTCAACCCCCAGACGAAATTGTAGATATCCTTGAACATGAACAAGTCAATCTAGAATATCAAAATAATCGTCCTGAAAATCCAGACGAAACTGTAGGGTAAAGTCGGGTATATTGTACCGGTCTTTAATTTGTACCACCTCAATATTTCCTGAACTATAGAACTCTAACGCCATCTATTTACCTTGTTTGATAGCCCCTGGCGCCAAAACGTATCTAACGAACTCTTGCAACTGACGGTCGTTCGTGTATCTAGTTATTTGGTGTTTTGTGAAACACGTCCTCACGCAGTAAGTATTATACAATCTTAGATAAGCCCTTATGTCCAAATAATTAGTTTCTGCTAAGTGCCGTTATATTTTTCGTAGTTATTGATCATTTTATAAGATCTTTATTGAGTTAAGTTTCACCTAACCTCACTTTTTAAAAAGAAGTAAGAATATTTATGTTATTCATACCAGTTCGGTAATTTGTACCACTGGCTGGTTTGCTAATTTGTACCGGTACAATTTAACAAACTCTTGTATTATTTTCCAGTCATGCCTCGCAAGGCCTTAATATATGGAAAATGGAGCGAAGAAAACATGAAGAAAGCAATAAAACTGTACAAAACGGGAGAATTTGGACTTAATGCGATCTGCAAGAGATATCAGATTCCAAAGCCAACGTTCAAGAGGCATTTGTTAGGGACAAATGTCAAAGCAAAGGAAGGACTGAAATCACTAGGTAGGGTCCAAGTATTCAGCACCGAAGTAGAGCAGGAGCTAGAAAATCAAATCCTGAAAATGGAAGAAATTTTCTTTGGACTCACCATTCAAGATATTAGAAGAGCTGCCTATCAGTTTGCAGAGAAGAATGGAATAAAACATAATTTCAACAAAGTGAAGGGAACAGCCGGTAAAGCATGGTTTTATAATTTCATGAAAAGGCATCCAAAGCTTTCTTTAAGGCAGCCGGAATCAACATCGCTAGCTAGGTGCAAGGGATTTAACAGACAGAATGTCAATCACTTTTTTGATATTTTAGAGAAGTTAGTTGATCAGTATAAAATAGACGCGACAAGGATTTACAACGTAGATGAGTCTGGGTTTTCTACAGTTCAGAAAAAATGCCAAAAAATAATTGCTAAAAAAGGAAAGAAAAACGTTGGGGCAGTGGCCAGCGGGGAACGGGGAGTGAATACCACGTTCATAGTATCCACCAATGCAGCAGGAAACTTTGTAGCGCCTATGATAATTTTTAAAAGAAAAAGAATGATGCCAGAACTTGCAGAAGGTGCCCCTCCAGGCTGCTTAGTTCAAATTTCAGACACAGGATATATTAACTCTGAATTATTCGTGGTTTGGCTACATAAATTTATTGAAGTGGTGAAGCCAAAGCCCACCCCCGAAGATAGAGTGATCCTAGTTCTGGATGGGCACACGACACACTCCAAGAACCTGGAGGCAATCAACTTGGCTCGACAACGTGGTGTAATTCTCCTACAATTGCCAGGGCATACCACAAATCGGCTTCAACCACTAGACGTTGCAATATTTAAGCCAATGGAGGTCTACTACGATCAGGCAGTTGAACGGTGGATGCGAGAACATCCAGGATTATCAGTGACACAACATCAGGTTGCTAAACTCTTAGGAGAGGCATATGGAAAATCTGCAACTGTTGGCTTTGCAATAAATGGATTTGCGAAGACTGGAGTATGGCCTGTGAATAGACATGTTTTTACTGATGTAGATTTTGCAGCAAGCGATGTTTTAGTCAATAATTCATCTCAGTTACCCATAGGAAAGAATAAAAACCAAATTGGACATGATGAAGACGATTCTTCTGACGACGATATCCCCCTGTCTAAGCCACTGTCAAAAGACGGTGCTCCAAAGATTAACTCTGAAGGAAACAGATGCTTTCCAGGATCTGGCGATTGGGGGAATAGACGAATAGATTCTAAAAATGCTCAACAGCAAAAAAATGTAGATCTCCCAAATATCTCATTTGATGAGATCATTTGCTTGGCAGGGACTAGCGGATTGGGAAACAAACCACGGATCAACAAAAATGCCCAACAGGCTGCAGTGCTTACAAGCACCCCATATAAGGACGAGTTAGAAAATAGAAAAAAAAAGCGTGCTTAATGAAAAAAAAGGTGCAGTGAAAAGGGCAGTACTGTCAGACTTATGAAAATTCAAAAGAAAAAATGACAGCCAAGACAAGATATATGAAATCCAGAAATTCTTGTTCCCCCACTAAAGCAGATGAGGTGACTAATGCTGTTATAGAGGCAAATGCTGATGACTGGTTTTGCAACATCTGCCAGGAATGCATTATAGAGGATATGATTAGGTGTGATCAATGCACAAATTGGGTGCACGAAAGCTGTGCTTCATTTCCCAGCCGAAATCGGTATATTTGTGACCTGTGTGCCTAAGATTCCTGTAGAGGAGTTCAACAAATAAACATTTTAATTTATTTTGAGTTATTTTGCTAGAGTTATGTTTTATTTCAACTTTGTTCCTTATTTGTGATCTCTTTGATGTAAGTTCATAATTACATGTATAATTATAATAATACACTGTCTTGCTTTATGGCTATACCAACCTGTTCCACTAACAATGAAAATCTTATGGATTTTGCCATGGTACAATTTAAAACCCCCGTGGTACAACTTAGCGAACCGGTTCGATAAATTGTACCGTTTACAACATTTTTTTAAAATGCATCTTATTTTAAGCTCTGAGCATTCACATCAATCTAAAGTTGCGAATTTTGACAGACACATGCCATATTACCTTACTTCGAAGTTTCGCTCAATACAAACAAGTCATCAAGGAGTTATTTCTTAAAATACGTTAGGTGGTACAATATACCCGACTTTACCCTACATTCAAATGCGGACCAACACCCCATTCAGACAATTCCTATAGTTGATTACGCAGTTAATCAGGGAAATAATCAGATTATCATAAGTACAGTAAAACATTCACCTGCACCACCAAAAATTTCTATTTTATTTGAAA